TGATGGGTCTAAAGGGTAGTTAGAAATAATGTTTCCAAACCCCTTGAGCCTCTGTGTTCAGCTATGTGGAGATGGTTTGCAGCAGGGATAGTTCTGGGCTTTCAACAAAGTTAGTCCAGAGTGAACACCCATCTTTCTCCCAGCCCAGAGTTGTGAGGTTACAATTACAAGTGGCTTTAAGTCCCCTATTGAGTTAAAGATAGAGAAGAAAGATGCCTTTGAGCAATGACTGAATGTTACTCAGATTGAGTAAATAGTGAAAAGTACAAGGTAGTTGGAAGTTCACAGTTACCTGGACTGACAAAAATTACTGGTTGAATAGATTATTTCATTGACACAGACCATAAGATGACTGATTCTGCAGAGCCTGATTTGATAAACATGTAATTTTTGCCATCCTTGACCCTGTTTATTTTCCCCAGAGCAGTATTTCCGTTAGGTTTTAACCTAATTTCTTGGACCCCAGCAGTAAAAGAATGGGGAACAGTAGGATAAAACTTCTACCCCCACTATTGAAAAGTAGTCTTTTTAGATAAGCCTTTTACCTCATGGATGAGAAGTCTTATTAATCAGAGATAGTGATGACTCTTAATTAATGCAGTTTCTCAGTGTTAATCATATTCTCTTAAGATGCATGCGCTTAGGATTTTCACTGTTGGGTATATTTTATAAAGTGGAGTCAAATAACATGGGGCATAACATTTTCTCTTTTTTGGTATTTCAGAGACGGCACTGCTCTCAATTTCATTTTTTAATTAAAGTCCATAAATGGCACGTTTAAAATTTTGGACCACAGCATGAATCAGAAATTGGGCTAGTCAACCTTTTTTTTGCGGCAGTGGGGGGGGGGTTTCTTTTTGAAGGTGGGGTTGAAGGCAGGGAAGGAAAAGGAAAGCAGGAGAGAGACTTGGCAAAGAAGGGTACTGGAAGGCACTGGGAGACTATGCTGGGAAGTGATTACTCTAGATCGCTTCACCCCCAGCCCCCAAGTAAAAATGCCTTTGCTAGCATTTTATTTCTCTCCCTTCCTTTTCTCACTAAAAAAAAAAAATATGAAGAGGAGTCTTCCTTTTCCTCCTTTTCTACCCTTCAGTGGCCGTAAGCATAAACAGGGACAAACAGTACAGACAGCGGAGGTTTTCCTACTGGCAAACCTGTCCTAAGGCAGAGATGGTCCTTTATCAGATGCCACCCAGAAAAGCAGAGAGTGTAACATCACAACTCTTAATAAAACCTCTGTCAGTCTCGGTGGGGCGGGGGAGGTGGGGGGCATGGGTGAAAGTCCTTTTGAATTTTCTCAGTGGGGACAGGGTTTTTTTGTTCCTTAATTAGAGGTAGTCTGGGAGAAACTAGCACTTGTGCAAATGCCCCAGGACAGTCTGGACACCTTAGCTCTGTGCTCATGGTAATACCATCGTCCCCCTGCTGAGGCAGCAGACCAGCTGGTGGTGGGAAAGCTGTCTGAGAGCGCCCAGAGAGGCTCTGCCAAGGAGATCTTTTTTCTTTCTCTGTGGCATCTGCAGCTCATTTGGTCTGAGCACCAGGTTACTACTTGATTCTGTTCAGTAGTCTGGACTTGAATTTATTTTTTATTTTTATTTTTTACTTTTGGACTTGAATTTTGAGGCCCTTTCAGAGAAGGTAGAGCTCATGTTGATTTCTGGGTCTAATTGTGCTTCTGGAAATATCAGCTGTAAATTGTATTGGAATTTAACGTTTAAGAAAAAGCCAGATGGTAATCAGAATGTGTGGGTGGTTTGAAGCTTTTAAATAAAAGGCTTGTGCTCAGCTGTCAAGCCTCCAGAGGAGTGCTTTATACTATGCATCCCTGCTTTCTAGAATGGGTTGTGGAAGGAAGTTGCTTCCTTCCTGTTTCATCATACCCTTTGTGACCTTGCCACATTCTCTGCCTTCCCTGCCCTGGCAGAATCTGATTCTTGACTTCAGTAAAACTGCTCAGGGGGCTTGAAGATTAAGGATGGCAGAACTCTTAAAGAAAGGTTCACAAACTAAGGGCTGTACTCTTAGCAGCCCAGTTAATGCCAGTAAGAGCTCAAGAATAGTCTAGACTTGCTGGGTGATTCTGGTTGGGAACATAATCATAGAGGGTCCCAAGATCTGGTGTCTTTCTTATTCATTTACTTCTTCATGCACAAACTAAAAACTGACTTTCTGGAGTCTTTACAGAATTCACCTCTTATTTTTGTTCCTTTCTTTGCTGTCAGTAAATCCATTAATGCCTTTTGCCACAGTTTAGCTGACTTAATTCTCTCTTGTTCTGCCTCTTGAAATCCAGAGTTGTGGCTTGAAGGGCAGTATGTTATAGTCAACTCTTAGGATCCACAACCTCCACTCGTCTCTTCTTGGTTGCAAGGCATCAAGATTTACTAGGTATATCAGAGATTACAGTGATCATAGATTGGTTCCTTCCAGAAGGTACAGGGAGAGAGTGTATCTGCAAGAGAGCTGAATGAATGTGTTTTTTGTACCTCCATCGTCACAGTATCTCAGCTTTCCAGGTGGATTACAAAGCCTGGAGGTGGGGGTGTGCTTGGCTCGTAGAGTCAGCAAGAGGGGCAGGGGAGGTTAGAGGATGAGGTCAGAGAGGTAGTGATCATGTAACAGATCATGGAAGGCCTTGTGGGCCACGTTAGGATTTTGTATTTTATTCTAAGTGAGATGGCAAGTCATTGGAGATTTTTGAGCTGATATGATTTCCAATTTAAAAAAATAAATTACTTTGGCTGCTCTGTGGAGAATAGATTGGGTGATGGGGCAAGGGTGGAACAGAGAGACCATTTGGAATGCTATTGTAGTAATCCAGGCTAGAGATGATGAGATGACAAGTGAATTTATTGCCTACTTCCAAGAAAGGTTGGGAGACCTAATTAAGAAAACATCACTAGGACTTCCCTGGTGGCGCAGTAGTTAAGAATCTGCCTGCCAACAAAGGGGACATGGGTTCAAGCCCTGGTCCAGGAAGATTCCACATGCCGCGGAGCAGCTAAGCCTGTACGCCACAACTACTGAGCCTGCGCTCTAGAGCCCTCAAGCCACAACCACTGAAGCCCACACTCCTGGGGCCCGTGCTCCACAACAAGAGAAGCCACTGCAATGAGAAGCCCGCACACTGCAACGAAGAGTAGCCCCCGCTCGCCGCAACGAAGACCCAGTGCAGGCAGACATACATACATACATACCTAAATAAATAAATAGGAAAAAATCACTAAAGCCCCTCACACAGCCCATTTCACAATATTAGGCTCCAGTATTTGTTAATTCTCTTCCTTTCCTTAGAGTTTGCCCTCAGCTATATTAGGACCATAGGGGAGAGGTTATTAAATAGAGATCAGCATTCACAAGGGAAGGGTTGTGAGCAGTACCTCAGTCATTTGACCCTAACAGAAGACTTTTTATTTCTTGAGGCACTGCAGTTGGCACAGTGTGTTCATACTGTCATCCCACCCACCAGAGACCTGAAAAGACTGAATCCGTGCCAGAACTCTGGGGCAGCTCCATTCTCATTGAGGCATTCACTCTTCAGTTCTTTCGGCACTTGCTATCTTAGACACAGTTTGAGTAGCCTCTTTTACAAAGTATCTTTTCAGCTACCTGGCCTTTCCAGCTGGAGCTCTCTGATACTCATCGTGACAAGGTAGTTTCACATACTTGAGAGGGCCCTCTAAGGGAAAGAAAGAGGTTTTGTGGTCTTTGTTTAACATTTGAGCTTTCCCCCATTCCTCTTTTCTTGTGATCTAAAGCCTTAATATGCTACCTTGATTTCTGGGGTTTGCAGTATGGGAAAGGAATTTAATGTGTTTTAGTACATTCTAGTTGTTTGGGAAAAAGCTTGGTCCTTGGTACAAAGGGAGCTTGCATTGTTGACAAGGCTTCCTTCCCTACCGAAGGCTACATCAGTGTCTGCTTGCTTTGGCTGTGTGAGTCTTGTTGGAAGACTTCACTGATGGAACCACGCCATCTTGATACAACGTCAGGACTGCCTGCCCAAAGAGGGCTGCTTGCAGCCTACCACCTCCTTGATTTACCCTGGGAGCAAAGCAATTTTTTTCTTTTTTTGGGTTCTGGAGGTCTAATTGTGTGAAAGGAAATAACAAGGTGAATCCCTAGAAACATACAAACAGAGTTTGCTTTAATAGTAGTTAATTTGTCTCTTAGGATGCTTTGTTCCTTCCTCTTTTTAAAAGTAAGTTCAGGTGAAATTCCCTGGCGGTCCAGTAGTTAGGACTCCGCCCTCTCACTGCTGAGGGCCCAGGTTCACTCCCTGGTCAGGGAACTAAGATCCGGCAAGCCATGGGGCGTGGCCAAAAAAAAAAAAACCCCAAAACAAAGTAAGTTCAGATTACTGGGGTCGTAAGTTGGACTTTGGGAGCCTTTGCAACTCATATACTGTACTGTCTCTGGAAATGTCTGACTGCCCCAGCCGCCAGCCAAGGCTGAGAATAGACTGAGCCGGGCCCTATGAGGGCAAGCTCTCTTCAGGAACGTTGTTCTGTTTTCAGGGAGAAATCATCTTTTCCTTCACCTCAGTGAGACTGTGCCCTAGCCTTTGTGCTCCTGCCTCAGCTGGGGCCCAGATGAAAGCCAGCCTGCCGTTTATCTGGCAGCCACATGGGCTTATCCAAAAGCAGTACGGAGAGGCAGTCTACAGGAAATGCAAATGCCAAGCGAATGCATCTATAGCTTGTGAACATAAAGACCTTCAGTTGTTTGTGTGGATAGGTATTTTCTAGTTTTCATTTTCCCCACCCAAGCATCTGTGCTGACTGAAATATTTGAGCCGTAGTAATAGTTGAGAGCAAATTGTGCTACAGATAAAGACATAGATATATTTTCAACCAAAATGCTACTAATTAAATTGTGTATCTGTCTAAGCCTGGACCACTGTTGCTCATATCCGATGTCCCCGGTATCTTCCTTGAGTGAGTCGCCTTGTGTTCCATGACCTTGTTTTTTTGTCATTACAGTGTGAGTGACTGCCTCACGTTGTGCTGATGCTGGTCTGCCATGCTAGCCTGTCTACCAGGGCCAGGTGACCTGTCCTTGCAGCTTCTTTCTCACACGCAGATGAACACTGGACTTCAGAAATGTAAGTAATCTGGATCCCAGTGAAGGATGTGACCCTTTATTTTTTCCCTACATTTGAGCTATACCAGAGGCACATTCGGGGTACACTGACCATGAATTTTGGTACCTACAAGATATTCTTCAGCACAGACATCAAGAAAGCAGCTGCAAAACTTGTCAACATTGTGAGACACTTCTCTGATCAGAGAGATCCTCTTTTTTTTAATTAATTAATTTAGTTAGTTATTCTGTTTATTTGGCTGGGTCGGGTCTTCACTGCAGCACACAGGATCTTTGTTGCGACGCGCGGGCTCAGTAGTTGCAGTGCACGGGCTCCAGAGTATGCAGGCTTAGTTGTCTCGTGGCATGTGGAATCTTAGTTCCCCCAACCAGGGATCAAATCTGTGTCCCCTGCATTGGAAGGCGGATTCTTAACCACTGGACCACCGGCGAAGTCCTGAGAAATCCTCTTAAATACTAGAATTCCCCAGTGTGTATCATCTTAATTTTAATTGTTGCTGATAGCTATCTGTTAAGCAATAAGGCTATAAGGAGTTTTACAGGATATATATATCAAAGAAGTGTTTCAATTTGAACCCCCATGAGGAATTGAATGAAAACTCACAGTCCAGATTACTTACTGTATCTCTGAGACAAACTGTATCCACTGTTCTGTTGTTTTGAGCTCTCTGAGCACTCTCTGCCATGGAAATAGACAGTTCCCTTTGGCTTTGCTGTCTGCCTTCTGAGCTGTGGGCCTCAGTTCACAGCAAGTAAAGAAGCTTCCGCCTCCAGAACGGATAGGAAGGTAGCTTGCTCAGTCTCTCTGGGCGTGTTCCTGTTAATATACTTGCTATAAGACGGAGTTTTTGAGAACTGTTAGATTCCTGTCTTACATTGGCTGGAATTGGGGCTTTATACTTTGTATTTTCCCAGATTCCTACCTTCTATCCCTGTACTACATCATGTGCAAGGAAAAGAGTCTATTCCTGGCTTATTACCATGTACGGCATCTTCAAGTGTGAAAATGGCCCTAAATTTGGAATAGACTTTCCTTTCAGAGCAAAAAGGGAAAATCAGTGAGGCATCTAGGCTTACCCTTTAATAGAAAAGGAGCTTCAGCACCTTATCTGAATCCTTTATGACAGAGGTTGGCAAACTTTTTCTGTAAAGAGTCAAATAGCAGATATTTTAGGCTTTGTGGATCATCCCATATGGTCTCTGTTACACGTACTCACCTCTGCTGTCGTAGGGCACAGGCAACCGTAGACAGTATGTAAACAAATGAGTGTGGCTATGCTCCAGTAAAACTTTCTACAAAAGCACAGCAGCTGGGTTTTGGCTTGCAGGCTATAGTTTGCCGCCCCCTGCTCTGTGAGATCATCTTCAGAAGTTAAAAATGGTCTGGCCTCTTGACTTCCTTTCTTTGAGGGAGAGTAAGACTCAGAGCCTGGCTAGTTCTAGAATTTGGCCAGTGAATCCAACTTGGCGTCATGACAGAGCTGAAGGTGACAGTCTTCCTTCTGCAGCTGCTTGACACAATAGGCCGGCCCTGCTGTCCCAGCTCCTCCCCAGCTTTTCTCTTACTAAAGGATAATTGGGTGAGAAAGTTGTCTGGGCTCCTTGGCCACCCAAATCTGCATGCTCACTGCATTGTGACTGGCTCCAGACTTCCAGGCACACAACTGGGGAGGGAGTGTGCTCAGAAGCATGCAATAAGATAACAAAGAGCAGCTCGCTGTCTGTCTTCTAGGTTCCTTAGCGCACTCTGACGGCTTCGCCCAGAGATGTCCTGTCAGGGGCTGAACTGCTTGGGAAGAAAGGCAAGTTGGCAGCTTTATCTTAGTTGCTGACTTGGAACCTTCACGCCCTTCTCCCCAAAGCAGTCCCCAAGTAGCCTCTGCCAACCACTGTCCCAAATCTATATTCAAGAATTGAGGTATGGGGCTTCCCTGGTGGCGCAGTGGTTGAGAGTCCGCCTGCCGATGCAGGGGACATGGGTTCGTGCCCCGGTCCGGGAAGATCCCACATGCCGCGGAGCGGCTGGGCCCGTGAGCCATGGCCGCCGAGCCTGCGCTGCTGGAGCCTGTGCTCCGCAACGGGAGAGGCCACAACAGTGAGAGGCCCGCGTACTGCAAAAAAAAAAAAAAAAAAAGAATTGAGGTATCCTTTTTCCCTGGTTTCAGGCTTACCTGTCCGTTTAGGGGACAGTGTATTTGAATCCCTTTGACTCTCTTGTTGCTCTCCTTAACTACACCTAAACTTTTGCAGAGGAGAAAACCCAGTGGTGTTTTTAAGCCCACTTACTTTCTTCTTTCCTCTCCCAAAATGTGTAAGAAAAAAAAATCCTGGGACTTTCCTGGCCGTCTGTGCTTCCAACTGCAGGGGGCGTGGGTTCAATCCCTGGTTGGGGAACTAAGATCCTGCAGGCCACACAGTGCGGCCAAAATTTTAAAAAAGAAGAAAATCCTGTCTTGTGACTTAGCTCTTCGCATTAGGCATTTACCATTAAGGTGAGATGGAGTATAAGCTGTCTCCTTTGGAAACCAGCAGCCAAGGAGCTGCTCAGAGCCCAGGCCTATCAGCTGTAGAGACCTTAAAACCAGTTTTGTAACTGCTATTCAGCCTTTCCCTGCCCCCATCCTAGGGAGGGTCTTAAAAGGTGCTCAAAACACAGAACTCCGTATCTGGTGAGGGGATGGGGTACTGATATTTATAGCTTAATACATGTTTGGTTTTTTTTTTATTGTTAACATCTTTATTGGGGTATAATTGCTTTACAATGGTGTGTTAGTTTCTGCTTTATAACAAAGTGAATCAGCTATACGTATACATATATCCCCATATCCCCTCCCTCTTGCGTCTCCCTCCCACCCTCCTTATCCCACCCCTCTAGGTGGTCACAAAGCACCGAGCTGATCTCCCTGTGTGATGCAGCTGCTTCCCACTAGCTATCTATTTTACGTTTGGTAGTGTATATACATACATGCCACTCTCTCACTTTGTCTCAGCTTACACTTGCCTCTCCCCATGTCCTCAAGTCCATTCTCTACATCTGCATCTTTATTCCTGTTCTGCCCCTAGGTTCATCAGAACCTTTTTTTTTTTTTTTAAGATTCCATATATATGTGTTAGCATACGGTACTTGTTTTTCTCTTTCTGACTTACTTCACTCTGTATTGCAGACTCTAGGTCCATCCACCTCACTACAAATAACTCAATTTTGTTTCTTTTTATGGCTGAGTAATATTCCGTTGTATATATGTGCCACATCTTCTTTATCCATTCGTCTGTCGATGGACACGTAGGTTGCTTCCGTGTCCTGGCTATTGTAAATAGAGCTGCAGTGAACATTGTGGTGCATGACTCTTTTTGAATTATGGTTTTCTCAGGGTATATGCCTAGTAGTGGTGTTGCTGGGTCCTATGGTAGTTCTATTCTTAGTTTTTTAAGGAACCTCCGTACTGTTCTCCATAGTGGCTGTACCAATTCACATTCCCACCAACAGTGCAAGAGTGTGTAGCTTAGTATACTTTATACTGTAAGAGTCAGCTCAAGGCAGGGGAGATGGGTCTGGGGTCGGGAGAGGGCATATGTGGCTTCTTGGCCCAGTACTGTCAGTCACCTGGCTAATCACTGTTCCCCAGGCTTGAGCTGCCTTACGTACAGAATCACAAGATTGTTCCCTTGAAGCGCCAACATTTTCTCTTCTCCCCTTCCTCTTCTACATGTATAGGAGGATGTGATGCATTTTCCAACCTAGAAGTGTAATTTGCCATAGTTCAGGCTGGATTAAAGGGCATTTTGCCTCTGGGTGGGTCCTGCACTTGGTAGAAGACCACAGTTGTGGTTAGGTGGATGCCCTCCTAGAACTTTTCTCAATTGTTATTCCATAATGTCACTTGCTTTGAGAGACCTCAGCCATTTTGGAACTTTGTACTTGCAAAGTCTATTTTCCTCTGACCCATCTTCTCCCAATTCCCCAGAAAATGTGTTTTTGAACATTTTTTTCTTCATTAACCCCAAGCCTCTGCTCCTAATTTTCCAGCTCACAGGTATATAGATAGGGTGGCCTGGTAAATATTTCTGGGTAGAGTGGTTGAAATGACCAAAGATCCCTGGTCGTCAAATCATCTTTTAGACAGTTACTGTGACCTCTTTCATTGTAGAGTTTTGGGGCCTAGGGCAAGTATCGAAATTAATTTTTTACTACTTCTCTGTATGCTTATGTGCCCCCTAGTGGAAAGACCTGGAAATGGTGAATTGGCCCAGTGACTGGATGAACTACAGAGAAATACCAGAAACATTAGCTAACGTTTTTTGAGCGCTTACCATATGCCAGGCACTGTCTTGAATATTTGTATGCATGTTCTCATTCATTCCTCAGTAATTCCATATGGGAGACTCTCTTATCTTTCTTTTCAGAATGAGAGTGTTTGTCAATGTCTCGTTACTATTCAGTGACTGGGCTAGAACTCACACTTGGGTCAGACTCCAAAGCCTGTATTTGACACACACTGCCTGTGTCTCTCCACAGGTTAGAGGTTCCTGCTGCATAAGCCACCCATGTCTTTTGATCTTCAAAACAGAAGGATAAACAGGGAGGTCCTTGCAGGGAAGCCTGGATTCAGGGAGATCCCCCCAGTTCCTAGAATAGACAACAGTGCTTTCTGTACTACATGTGATGCTCAGACTCAAGTCCAGGAGGTATTGCAGTCAGGGCTTCCATGGTCAGGTTACTTTGTCCCGTCTGTGGGCAGACTCAGCCAAACCTGCTATCCTTGAATAATAACTATTGACAGTCATAGTTCCTGTTCACAGAGCATTTCCCATTCATTGGATCTCTTGATCTTAGTAATTCTGCAAGGTAGGACAGCAGGGACCTTCCCTGTTTATAAATGAGGAATGACTGAGAGAGAAACTGAGTAGTCAGATAATAAAGCCAGTGCTTCAATCTGGATCTCTTTTTTTCTAACCACAGAGTCTCTGTTCTCTACACTGCCTTATGTCTCGATGAATGACAGCACTGGTACCAGATATTTAAATAAGTTGTTTACAGAGCTGTAGTATCTGTTAGCTGTGCATTTAGAGGAAGATGATGCAGAAGAAAGAAAGGCTTCAGGGTGCCTCTGTGGGGACTGAGATAAAGTACTGAGGAAAACTTGGCTATTTTTTAAGGGTTGGGCTGAAATCTGGTACATGACGTGGGTGGTGTTGGATTCCCAGAATGTGGCCTCTTTCTTGTCCAATATGCTCCTCTCATCCTTGAGATTCTTCCTTAACATACTGTAGCCTGTGTCCACCCTTCCCACCCCTCACCTCACCTCATCACCACTGTCAACATCAGTGGAGGCAGGACAGAGCGAACTAATCGGTGTAGTGTCCCACTCCATACTTCTGACTGAGGCCAAGCCATCAATACCTCTGCCTCTGCTAGAAAAAAACCAGCCTTAGAGTTGATATTGACTTGGAGCAAAGGAGCTCTATTATTCAGCAAGCCGCTGTACCAGTCTCTCTTCCCTGACCTTCAGAGAGAGAAGCCCATCAGCATGGAGGAAAGCTCTTCCAACGTGGAGGGGTGGACCTTCCTTTCCTGTCCGAACTGAAGCCCAGCAGCCTCAGACTCCCATTATTCAGCCGAGTCCCAGTTGCTCAGTCAGACAGTACACTCACCAGGCACCTGCTACACGTTTGCTCTGGGTAAGGAAGACATGAGCCAGGAGTGCCACACGTTTTTGATCAGCCACACAAGAGCACAGTGGCTGACCAGGGCAGCTTCTAATGGAATTCTGGCGCCTTGAGTTTAGGGAAGATCTTTCAGTGATCCCAGACTTTTTTGGTGTCTTCTTGTCCAGGAGAATGTAAAACCGGTCAGAAAATGGCCCCACTTTGTCGAGACTGAAGCCTATTAAGGGTCAGTGGCTTATAAGAAGCCGCAGAACTCTCCTGTTCTCCAGGCTTTGACCTCCTTGCCAGCTAGTGCTACCTAGTAGGTGGGAGACTTCCAGGCCTCTCTCTGCTTCCTGCCTTCAGTTGTCACTGTCACATTCATCCTTCTAAATCAGTCCTTCTTCAAATCAGTCATCTTACAAACATTTCGTTTATGAATGGAGCAACTATTCTGTACTCAGTAAATAAAGCAGAGCCTTAAATATGTGGGAGTGCCTACTACGTTCAAGGCATTGTGCCCGTGTTTGAAAGCAAACCTTTTCCTTTCTGTACCCTTTTTGCTAAGTTCTGCCTCGTCGAGCCTGGGTCCGGATCTCTCTGCCTCTTCTGGACTTGAGCTTTCTTTTCTTGCTTCCAAGAGCAGCGGTTTCTGAGCAGTTGCTGCCCGCCAACCAGCAGTGTCACCTGACGCAGGCCGCTGTGCCCTTTTCCTGCCAGCACACTCACTAGACTACCTCTGTTCCAGCTGATGCCCAGCGACGTGACTTTGAATGGGGTCTCCTCTGGGCCAAGCCAGCTGAGGCCACAAGCCAGGCATTTGGCCAGCTCAGTCCTTGGTCTGCCCTGGCTGCCCCCTAGAAGGGGAGGAAGTAGGGAGGGAATCAGCTAGCTGAGCCAAGGCTCCCAGCCAGTCCCCTTTTTTTTTCTGCTCTGGGCAGTCTGTGTACTTACTCAGCAAGCCTTTATTAAGCACCTTCTGTGTATACTCAGGGGAGACCCTCCCCAGAGAGAGGGAGAAGGGAGCAGAGACCCCTTGCCAGGAGCCTGGCATCCTTAAAGAGCTCTTGTTCTCAGAACCTTTTCCTTTTTGATGGAAGCACGACATCCGCTGGAGCCCCCTGATGGGAGGCAACTGGAGATGGGAACAAAGAGACTGTTAGCATTAATGAGGCCCATTGAGCGGTGTTTCCGCAGTCTCCAAAGAAGGCAGGTTTTTCCTCTTTCATTTTGGAAAGTGACAGCTCACAAGGGCCGAATACAGACTATTTTTGGCTCTCAGGACTTAAAGATTCTCTGAATCCTTTCTCCTCAGTTCCCTCCCTGCTGCCCTGTCATTATTGTCACCCCCACAAGGAAATAAATAAAGCCTTTTGATCTTCACCCAGTCAGGCTTAGAGTAAGCTGTAAACAAAAGTGAACTTGTGACTTGGGGATGGGGAAGGGATGTTGGCAGCTTACTCCTCTGCCCCTGAAAAAGAAGCATCCTGTCTGCTGCGCCAGGATGCCCACCCAGTCGGCACGGTGCCCCAGCTGCCAAGGCAGAGAGAAAGTTGATGCCTCACTGGCAACCGCAGACTGTAGAGGAGTCATTCTGGGTACCCTCTTCCTCAGGGTGTCATGGGACAGGGACTGAGTGGCCCTGACAAACAGCTCTGCTTAGAACCTTCAACCCCCAGGCCAGGATGGGCTGGTAGGAACTTGGAGAGAATTCCATGTGAGAATTGGCCAAGTTCTGGCTCTCTAAGATAGAGACTTCTGCAAGTTGCTCTGCTATTCTGATCTTTACTGACTTCGTTTGTTAAGTGGGAATACCATGATAGTACCTGCGTCCTAAAGCAGTAGCAAGGATTCGTTGAGACAGCCTGTCCTCAGCACGAGGCCTGGTCCATTAGAAGTACTCAGTCAATGTGAGCAGTGCTTGTTTTTGTGGGGGCTGAGGCCGGGTCTCAGTGGAAGACGAGAGATGACAGCTTAGTTCGCCCTGCCCCTCAGGCCCTCAAATGGGAAATCTAGAAGGGCTGGTTGGCTTGGCACTGATGAGCTCCGTCTCCTTCTTTGCTCTCCTTCCCCTTCTCTCTCTAGGGGACACTACACAGAAAATGAGAACTGCTCACTATCCTACCCCAGCCGAATTGGACGCGTATGCTAAGAAGGTCGCAAACAACCCACTGACTATAAAAATCTTCCCCAACAGTGTGAAGGTTCCCCAGCGGAAACACGTTCGTCGTACTGTGAACGGCCTCGACACATCAGCCCAGCGCTACAGCCCCTACCCGACTCAGGCTGCCACCAAGGCAGGCCTGCTTGCCATTGTCAAAGTGCCAGCCAAAAGCATACTCAAGGACTTTGACGGCACCCGAGCCCGGTTGCTCCCTGAGGCCATCATGAACCCCCCAGTGGCGCCCTATGCTACTGTGGCACCCAGCACTTTAGCCCACCCCCAGGCCCAGGCTCTGGCCCGCCAGCAGGCCCTGCAGCACGCACAGACCCTGGCCCATGCCCCTCCCCAGACGCTGCAGCACCCTCAGGGTATCCCGCCACCCCCAGCGGCGCTGTCCCACCCTCAGAGCCTCCAGCAGCCTCAGGGCCTGGGCCACCCTCAGCCCATGGCCCCAACCCAGGGCTTGGTCCACCCTCAGGCCCTGTCTCACCAGGGTCTCCAGCACCTCCCCACTCCCTTGCTGCACGGAGGCCGGAAGATGCCAGACTCAGACGCCCCCCCGAATGTGACCGTGTCTACCTCAACTATCCCCCTTTCCATGGCGGCCACCCTGCAGCACAGCCAGCCCCCGGACCTGAGCAGCATCGTGCACCAGATCAGCCAGTTTTGCCAGACGAGGGCAGGCATCAGCACTACCTCAGTGTGTGAGGGCCAGATCGCCAACCCCAGCCCCATTAGCCGCAGTCTGCTCATCAATGCAAGCACTCGGGTGTCGACCCACGGCGTCCCCACACCAATGCCTTCATGTGTGGTCAATCCCATGGAGCACACCCACGCGGCCGCAGCCGCATTGCCCGCTGCGGGCCCTGTCAACCTGCCCACGGGCATCTCTCGAGCCCCCACTGGCTACCCTAGCGACCTCAAGCCAGTCGCCTGGAACCAGCACCAGCTGGCCCACCTACAGCAGATGTGCAGTGAGGCCGGCGGGACGCCGGCCCCTGGCCTGACAGGCAAGCATGCGGCAGGACGCGAGTTGGCGGGGCCTGGCTTTGTGGGCAAGGCCCCTGCCTACCCGCAGGAACTGTGCATGGCGCAGGCTTTCCATCTGAAGCCACCCCTGGAGAAGCCAACCCCGTCCCCACCAGTCAACGGCCTGGCAGCCCCACTGGCCTACCCTAATGGTCACTACTTCCAGCCCCTGTGGAACAACATCCTGCCCACTCCCAACAGCGACAGCTCGGGGTCTCAGGACCTCGCCATGCCCTTCCACAGCGGGCAGCCTGCGGGCGCACCCCTCGACTGCGCGGCAGCGGCGGCTGGGGCCCACTACCGGGCGGGGACCGGGGGCGGGCCGGCGGCAAGCCAGAACAGCCTGGTGCAGACAGTGGATTACCTAAGCGGGGATTTCCCGCAGGCCTGCTTCCGAGACCAGAGTCTGGCCGTGCTGAGCAAGGCCCACCGAGCCCCTGGCAGCCGAGCCCCTGATCCCACAGATAGTCGAAATCTTCATATTCAGCACCCTGGGTATAGATAGGTAGCCCTGGTGCCCTCCACAAGCTACACATCATACGTCACCCTCCTAGGTTTAGTCTTACTTTTGAGTGATTGGATAGTTTCAAAGTTTCACTGCTCCAACGTGATCATTCTTAGATGTCTAAGAAAGGGAGTTTAGTGGGATCTAATTGAGGACGGGGCGGGGGGGTCCTCTTTGCTCTCATCTTCCCCTCTACCAGCCCCAGCAACTTTTGGGTTTATGTTGGGACCTCATCCCAACTTCAGGCTTTTCTCTCCAATGCCTGCCTGTCAGTGCAGTTCTTCCCCCCACCCCCACCTCGGCCATTTCCCACAAGACCCCTTTTGTCTGTTCCTGCACCTCTCACTGTTTCTCTTTGGACTGAGGTGTGGGCTAAGGGAAGGGCCCCCTAGGTCAGGTAGCTGTCAGTGCCCAGCCACCTAAGCTAGGTCTCTCCCTGTCTGTCTCTCTGGGACTAAGAAGCCAGACCTCCCAAGTGCTCTGAAAGCCAATTCCTTGTTTACCCAAAGACCTCAAATCAAAACTGACCCAGTCTGCATCTCCTCCCAGCCCTTCTCCTTTCCTCAAGGCTTTGTTTTACATCTGCATTGATCCCAGAGCCACTGCACTTGTCCTTGCCACACTCCTCAAGGGCATCCTGCACGCACGTGGCCATAGCCTTGAGACCAAGGGGAAAAAAACCCTGTGTTTGGATTGATACCTTGGTTCCTGACTCCCTTTCCCTGCCTAGAGAAATGCCGAGACCATCCAGCATACCCAAGATCTTTCTCGCTGCTGTCTCTCTCCAAAGTCATCTGCTGCCCTCATCCCCCACTCCCCCCTCAAAAAAAAAAAACGCAAAACAAAACAAAAACGTCTTTCTTGAGGGATTAGGTAGTAGGTATGGGATGATCACATTGGAGTTTGGAATTAAAAACACTGAAAAAAAAAAAAGTGCATTTGGTTCTCTCTACACTGGCTAAGAATATTGCTCTACGCTGTAAGTTTTAAACGTCCTGTTTCTGTATGAATGTAGTGTGGGTTTGAGTAGCAATGTGTGTGAGCGGCCCCACAGGTGCATTCACTGTCTAGTCACCTTTCACAGCCCCTCGGTTTAACGAAGACGAAAACACAAAGCCTTAAGCTCTTTGAATTCTCCTTTACCAAATGAGCATGGTTCTAACAGCTGGAGATGGGCCTCTCTTGGAAACAGCCCCCTTCTGCCCCTCGCCCTTTCTTCACCCACTCCATGCTCCAAGTCTCATTCCCAGGTGACAATGAGTTGGCTAGAAATTTAAAACTTTTCTGTAACTTCAGATTATGTTTTGTTGTAATGTTTTGCACCCTTCTGTTAAAGATGCATAGTTGTTGGGCTTTTTTTTTTTTTTAAACCAAATAAGCCCTACCCTTTCCTCTTGTCTCTGGGGAATGTGAGCTGATTTTCTTATTTAAGATTTGGGGTTTTGTTTACTATACTATCCACTGTTCTTTAGCCAGAAATTCTCTAGTGATCTGAAGCAGTGTGACTGAAGACCAGTTTTTAAATTATGTGTTGGCAAGTTGCCTTATATTTAAAAAGAGAAAAAAAAGGAAAAAAATGCCTGATTGTGTTATGCCAAATGATAGCAACATGAAGTCCTAACTCATTGTTCCCAGTGGTTTTCCTGCCGTCTGTGAACACTGGCACCTCCCTGTCCTGAGCCCCTAGGAGTACCTGCAGCTTCTGGTGCGATGCCTTCTCCCTGTGTGTTGGCCACCATCTCACCCAGGGGCCCCTTCCAGTTCTCGCTTCTCTGAGTTAAATTCTCTGAATGAACACCATTGTCTCCCTTTATCCCTTGCTTGATCTCCAAACCAGATATTTTTGCTGTAATTTGTTCCAATGCCTACCCCCAAAAGGTGAGCTGCCATTTTAGGAAATTGGACCAGACACCAACTTGGGGGCTTAAAATCAAACCTCAAACCCATCTCTTCCTGTGTAGGGGTGCAAGCCTCTGAAGCTCTCACTCCCACCCCTAGTCTGCATGGAAAATGTACTGTGACCCCCCCCCGCCCCCCCATCTACCCTCGCCTTTGGTGTGAGATGTTTCCTAGTTCACCCTGAGCCCCTCTCCCCCTCTGCCAGCCAACCCCCAACCAGCAATAAGGGTCCAAGCCAGGGCCTCCTATCCACACCCCCTGCCTCCATTCCACACTGCCCCTAGAAGATACCTGGATCCTCACGCCGCCCACATACTGTAGCATTCATTCTCCATCTCCTTCATCTTCTCACCTGTGGTGGTTTATGGGTGTGATGGGGTTTTTAAGATTACTATAAACCAGTAAAAAGAAAAAAACTCACCTTTGATCTTGTCCTATTCGTTTAATGCTGTCAGTGTTTGAGATGATCTTTCTTAACGGTCTTTAATGTCTTAAGAGAATTTCTCATTTTTAAGGGGACCCCTATAGTATTTGTCCCCGTCAGAAGCCCTCCCACTCCATTATCCCAGACCAGGTGTGTTCAGTCAGCCCCTGGAGGGCACCTGGCTGACTGGCCCTCTCCCTAGGCAGGGCTGCAGGGGGCTTGGTGGGATTTGATGGTTAAGTACGGTTCGCTACCCCTCACTGGAGGTCCAGTTCAATGTAATGCCACTTTCACTCCAAGGACTATCCGTCACTGAAAAACGGGGACCTGGTTTGCTAATAAGCCAGCTTAAGACTAAACGACCCTTCCCCCACCCCACAACCTTCTCCCACCTCGAACACTTTGGAATTTGAGGACCTCTGGCAGGTGGAAGTAATAGGTGGTGTGATCTGTAGCATGAGAAGTGGTCCTCTTGGTGGTTTGAATCTTAAGGGTTGAGTACTGATGGGAGAACTTTCTTCTGTCTGCAGGGGAAAAAAAAAATCCAAGAGCTATTTACGTCCCCTCCTCCCTCTCCACTTTCTGCTGCGTTTGGGTCTGGGCTAAGATGCGATGGAGGGAAGGAAAGATCCCACAGGTTGTGGGACTCAGTGAGGGTGGAATCAGATGGTTAGGTGGCTCGAGTTGAAAGCACCCTCCTGAGCATGCCCTTTTCTGTGGGGTGCCCTTTTGTGAAGGTGCTTTGCCTCCTTTACTCCTCATCCCATCCCTGTGAAAGAGAACCCTCTTCTGCCTGTGTCAAATGACACCTACAGTCAGCCTAGGGTCACAGGGCTAGACAGAGCAGATGGTTGAGTTGAGCCCAGCTCACGCTGTGAGGCAAAATCTGGCCTGAGTTCCACAAGCAATTATGACTGTCTGCAAAGGCAGTGAATGAGGGCTAGGCCTGGGCATGGGGTCAATCGCAATATCCACTGCAGGGAACTGAAGGCGGCACCAGCCGCCTTTGTGAACCTACCGCCTGGAATGGTGCAGTGGCACAGTGCTGCCAGCAGAGGGAGCCCAAGCTTGATCCAGGGGTTCTGGCTTCTCTTGGAAGGCTTCTGCAGAAGAGTGGTTCTACCTGTCGCTGCGTGAAGCCCGTGCTTAGGTGAAGGCATTTCCCCTGCTAGAGCCCATGGTCGGTCTTCTCTGCCAGCTTCCAGGCTTCACAGTACCACGACAGTTTAGATGAAAGAGCCATCTTTACTTTCTCAGCAAGGTAGCCAGGGCTTCATCTCTCCCTAGATCAGTGAATTTGACCTTTTGAAGGCTAAGTTGGTTAGTTCCCTGGGCTGGCTGTCTCAGGTTAGACCTTTCCCATCACCTTCTGATAAGGGCTCTTTTCACCTGAGTCTCTGGGAAAGTAGAAAAGGCAGGCTACAGCCCTTGAACCCTCTCCGTACTAAACAATACTTCCCACACACTGGGCCTCTTCTCAGGGCCAGGCAAGAGTAAGGCACTTTATGCTGATGAGTTAATCTTTACGAATCTAGCAGGATTACTTTAATCTTACCAGTAAGGATGCCCCATGTAGCTAAGTAACTTGCCAAAAAAGCAAGCACAGCAAGGATCCAAAATCAAACCTACTGCCAAAATAAAAGGAAGCTAATCTTCCAGTGACTGCTGGAGCTTAAAACAGAATCCAGTGACAGGGGGGAAAAAAAATCCAGGCCTTGCCCCAAACTAGCTGAAAGATCACTGAAGTCAATTCACTCCTCTGTTCCTATTTCACCAGTCAAATGTGGATAATCACAGGTACCCATTGAGGCCTGTATGAAAATAAGTATGGATGAGAAAATTTCAAGGCTCCTGTGCACAGTTTAGGAGTCCCTGGGTGTGGGCTGGGCTTTGGAGTTAGACTAACATTCATAAAGCACTCACAGACATCCCTCAGTATCCACAGGGAATTGGTTTAAGAATCGCCAGTGGATACAGAAATTCACCAAGTCCCTGATATAAAATAGCATAGGCTTTTTGCATGTAACCTATACACATCCTCTGGTATACTTTAATCTCTAGATTACTTACAATACCTAATACAATGTAATACTATGTAGATTTGCCCATGAGTGGCCAAAACCTTTTGCTTTTTGTAACTTTCTGGAACTATTCCCAAATATCTCCAATTCACTGTTGACTGAATTCGAGGATGTGGAACCCACAGATACAAAGGACCGACTATTTTTACTGGGAACATGCATGGTCTTCACCACAGCCCACTAAGATAGGTCCTTTTATTAAAAGCTATTTCACTTGACTGTTGTATTAAATATAATGCATATAAAGTGCTTACCAGTGTCTGCCACATCAAAAGTACTCAATAAATGGTAGCTATTATCATTAGACCAAGAAAGACCTGCCTAGAGCACCGGCACTAGTCCTTTGTGGGGTATCGATCAGAGACTCTCAACCTTATAAAACGTCCAGAGCCTGCACCTCCCTCCTCTAACCACTAGAGGGCGGCAGCAGGCAGCTGTCCGCCGCACAAAGCCTAGTGCAGTCCCTCTGTCTTCCACCAGAGGGCGATGCAGCAGGGCAGCTGGATCCTGGGGCCAGAGCCGTTGCAGTCCCTGACTGGTCCCTTGACTTCACAATTGGGCCCTGAGCAACCCAGATGAGTCAGGCTGGAACCAAGGTAATAAATACAAGTCAGGATTTATTAAAAATCAGGGCTCCCCTGCTGTGCCCTCCTGGCACTAAGTAAATAAATAACCAGAGGGGACACAGCTGGGGAGAGGAGACATCAGATCTCAAGACAGATTCTTTAACTACCCCTCAGTTTCCCAACTCCCCCTCCCCCCCTATGGCTCTTGGGACATAGCACCAGCAGGCACCTCAGTCCCTGGAAGAGTGTGGCCGGCACCAAGGCATGTCTGCCCTGATCCTAGGCAACAGGCCCCGGGATCGCTTGTTTCCAAGCCCTTGATGACCCTAAGACCTGCTCTTCCCAGAGGCCAGGGCTGAAGCACCAAAAGGAGGCACCTGAGGGTGGTAGGGAAGGAGGGAGGGGGAACAGGGTAACAGAACCTAGGCAGCGGAAGCAGCTGTAAGGGGGTCCGGCCCCCTCTCCAGGCTCAGCCTGCCTGATGGAGGTCATTTCCCACCCCCCTTTTTCCTATAGCTGGGTCTGCTCTCAGCTGAGGATCTTTCGGGGCAATTCAACAGAGGCACGGATGAAGACTGCATCATCCCGCACATAGTTTCGCTTGCGGATATCCTGGTGGGAGATGAACTTGGGGTAACCAAAGCCCAGAGAACTCTCATCCAGGGAGCCCCGCCAAGTGCCTGGTTTTTGGAAATTCTTCCAGTTTGGGTCAGGGTGAAAGGTCTCAGTGACATGCTGTGGCTTAGCCAGCCCAGGGTCGCTCTGATCCAGCAGGGAGAAGGTGACGCGGCGGGCAAAGGGCCACTCAAGGAGATTGTCAAAGGCACCTGGCAGCACGCGAATGTAGAGCGAGAGATGTGTACCCTCACCACTGCCATTGCCATTGAGGAATGCAGACACCTGCAGCTTGTAGCCATACTTATGCGTGTAGAAGGCGGGGCTGAAGCACTCGAGGTTGGGCTTGGCTTTGGCCTCCTGCAGCCTTCGCCCGTAACTGCCGATCTTCCAGATGAGCACGCCATCACTGCCCACGGAGAGCTCCTCCAGCTCTCTTCGCAGCTCCTGCAGCTCTTGCCGTTGCCGGCTCACCAGGGCACACATCATGGCCAGATGTGGCTTCACGCTCTCCTCCACGTGCCGTGCCATTGCCAGCTTAGGGCACTGTTGGCAAAGCCCCAGGCCATGGGGGAAGAGAGGAGAGTTAGTCGGGGCAAGTTCAGGGGAGAGGGGAGGAGCAGGTACAGGGCAGTGGGCACCCGGCTCTGAATGAGGGAGGTAGAGGGCTCTAGGAGGAGGCTGGAGCCGGCCAGCAGGGGGAGGGCTGAGGCTTCAGAGCAGCACAGCAGGGACCACTAAGGGCCTATGTCTGAGGTTTCAAGGACCAAGAAGAGAGCTGACAGGAAGGAAGAGAGGCATCTCACCCTGTGCTTGCAGCCGGAGTCTTTGAATGGGCACAGCACCAGGGCAGTGCTACAGCTGTCCTTGAGGTGGCCCGGCAGATCCTCCCGAGCCATGGTGCCCACGCCACACTGGTTGGGGCATGGCACAGGCAGCCTCGGGCACTGGTACTGGTGGCTCTAGGGCCGCAGAGGCAGAGAGAAGCAGTGAGTAGCCTGACTCCCTGCTACCTGCCCTGCGGCCCACAGCTCAGGAGGGCCTCACCTGGATGGTGTCAAAGACAAACTCCTTGGTGCAGTAAGTGCAAGGCTGGGTGCGCTTGGGGCACTCAGAGGTGGCATGCTGGGCCAGGAGCCGCCGCATCATGCGGGCACCGCATTTGTTCTCACAGTACACACTCTCTTGCGGGCACACACCTTCGTGGCTCTGTAGAAACACCAGAGGGGCTGAGTTAAGGGATCCCTGGGCCACCAGGTGCCCCACTCTCCCTCTACCCTCAGCCAGGCCCCACCCACCTCAAAGGCCTCCCCGCTGAAGTCACAGCCACAGAACTCGCACTTGAGTCGCCTCTTGGGGCAGTCGTGCTGCAGGTGCGCGGGCAGATCCCGGCGGCTCAGCTTGGCGGGGCAGCGGTTGGGGCAGGGGACTACATTGAAGCTGCACGTATTCAGGTGGCCCTGGTGGGACGGGCCACAGTTAGTGCCTGCCCAGGGAGGGGCAGTCCCCCCACCCCGGCCCCTTCAGAGCCTCACCTGTAGGTGGCGAAGTGGCCCACTCCAGCGGCAGCCCTCCTCACTGTGGATGCAGCGGATAGGCAGGCCCAGTACCTGTACCTCCAGCTCTGGGTCTGGGTAGATCTGGGGACAAGGAGGCGGGGGACGGTCAGGGTCAGAGCCTGCTACAGTCCCCAGTTCCCACCTCCTCCACCCCAGATAGCTTAGCTCTCTACCTTAGAGCCAGTAACAGCCCCTCGGTGTAAATTCTCCTCTGTGCCCAGGGATAAAGAGTGCAGCAGGTGATCTCTGCTCTAACACTAGATTCCAGGGCCCCCAACACGCTGGCCCAGGACGCTCCCTTCGGAGCGGCAGCCAATCAGCCGGCTCAGCCCCAGGCAGCCTCCACACCCTTTGCTTCCTTCCTCCTGGTACAGGGGTCCTGGCCCTCAGCCACAGGGCTGGCCAGCCACCCAAACGGGAGGGGACACTTCTGGTGGGCACAGAGCGTTTCTGTATACCCCCACAGGCTGGGCATTGTGCCTGCCCTCCAGGGCAGACTCGGGCCTCACGTGCGAACTGGCCTGGTGGGAGGGAACAGGCCACGTTCGTAGGGGTGCATGATTCTGCGGCACCGGGTTGACACTGGCCCCGAGCCCACTGGCTGCAGCAGCTCCAGCCTCCACCGAGGGCAAGAGCCTGTACCTGGCACGGTGGACTCACCTTGGCATAGTCCAGAGGAAGTTGATCCTCAGGGCACTTGAAGACTCCTTCACTGTGAAGGGGGAAGGGACAGGGTCAAGGCGCCATACTATGGGAAGAGAGATCCCTGGGCCCCATCCCCTCAACCAGGGTAGCCTCCTTCCCTCACCAGACCGGTTCCCAGGTTCCCAGGCAGCCCTACCGGAGAGGGAGAGTAGAGGCCTGAGGGTACCCACTTCTACAGGACCACCAAAGATCCCAGCTCCTGTCCCGGGGAGGGTGGATCTGGGCCCAGTGGAGGCAGAGGCAGCTGCTTCAGACAGCATTTGGCCAACAGGTGGCAGCTGGCACCCCTCCCCCAGGATGGCAGCTGGACGGCGAAAGGAACAGGCTGCCCAGCCGCCCAGTCCCCCAGGTTACTTTTCATTGGCTGGGCTGAAAGCTGTTGGGGGGAGGTGAACACGGATGGGCTGAGGTTAAGCGCCAGGGCTGCCCAAGCCCCTGCGAGGGTGCCCAGCCAAGAACCCAGGGCAAAGGTCAGCTTGGGGCCACCTTACCCCAACTCTCCCCTCCTCCTATGTGGGTGTGTCTTCTAAAGCAAAGAGAAGGAAAGGCTCGCTCCAAGGTACTGTGTTTACACTCCCACCCAGTTCTCACAACCTGCCTGAGAAGGGGCTCAGTGTCTCCATTTTGCAGATGAAAGAACTGAGGCTCACGGGTGAACTGGACTGTTTGTCTGATTCCACAGCTCAGATAGTTTCTACTACGCTGTACACAGAAGAGAGGCCAGTCCAAGAAAAAGTGTCCAGGCAAGCATAGCCAAGGCTCTGGTCACTGCACGGCAGGCATCTGAAGCCTGCTGCCCCTGTCCGCTGCCCTCCCTCTCCTCCACCAACCCCACACCAGGCTGTTAGCACTCAAGGAACCTGTGGCATGCCTCCTTCTGCCAACATGGCCTCGCCGACCCTAGCCAGGACCAGTCACGCATGCCTGGCGCGGCCTAGGCAGGGCAAGGGCTCACCCAGCAGGACTGAAGACCCTCAGGCACGGCATTTCTGGCAAGTCTGAGTCAGGCAGGTGGGAGGCAGGCAAGGATGAAGGCGGAAGCAGAGGCTACATGGCAGCCCTGTCCACGATGGCACTTGGCAGGACGTGGGCAGTCCATGCCCCAGGTGCTCAAAGGATTTCTAGCACCCACCTCCTCCCCCTGACCCCACGACTACTACTGGGCATGCTGCCAATGCCAATAATAATACATGCCCAGGCACTGAGGAGGTATGCCCGTGCCCACAGGGTAACCAGGCTTCCTGGACCAACCTGAGTAACAGCGCTGGCAGGAGAAGGGAAAGAGGGGTGGGCCGTGGGGGAGGGGGTCTGCTTGGCTGCTTCAGGAATGTGCTGACTTAGTGGTTTTGGAGTCAGGGAGGGGACTGAGGCAAGTCCCCAGGCTTCAGGCAGAAGATTAGCCTGGGTAGCTTGGGGCCCAGCCAGGACAAAGGTTCGCCCAGTGCCATGGACACCCTAGCTGGTAGGGTGGGAGGCGCAGGGCCTGTCCCACCATCCCTTCCCTCCCGGGCCTCAGCGTCAGAGTTCAGGCGCCAGCCGAGGTGGGGAGGCAAGGGCAGAGACTGCTCCAGGCCGTGCAGTGGAGGCCCAGGCCCAGGGGAGAAGACAGGATGGGGGGAAGGGGCTGTGGGAGAGGAAGAGGGGATTTCCGGGAGGGGGAGGGGAGAAGCAGCAGAGAGGAACAGAAGAGGGAAACAAGCCTGACAGCCCCCTCCCCCGTTCCTTCCCCGAGGCAGTCAGGGTGGGTCAGCTGAGGAGGGGGTTGGCTCAGCTGGCCTCATCTGGAAGCCAGAGGGCTGGGGAAGAGCACGGGAGAAGACAATGGGGCTGTGTGTAGGTAGGGGAGTGTGTGTACACTGAAGGGAGGAGGGAGGCGGGTGAGGGAAAAGGAGGAGGGGGCAGCACAGCAGCTTGTGCAGGAGCATATGTGAGGGCAGGGCCGGCCCAGGCTGCGGGGAACCGAAAACAAAGGGCCTGCTGAGATTTCCGCCGGGCAAGGGGCTGCGGAGGACGGAGGGACGGAATCCCAGAGGTGCTCTCCCAGCCTGCGCCCCACGAACCCTCAGCAAACAGCCTCCTGACACAGGGCACTGGCTGACCCAGCCTTCCCCGGTGCTCTTGGCCCACGACCTCCCCACGACACGGGGCTCCCTCTTCTTGCCTCCCCACACCCAGGACTGAGCAGGTCCCAGCGTGGACAGGAGACTCAGAACACCGCAGGGCGCCCAGAACTCAACGAGTGCCCAAGAGCCCACGGAAGACCTGGGTCGGGAGAGCGCAGGGGGCGTTCAGTCACACCCAGGGTGCGACCCCCTCCCCCTCACGACTTCTAGACCACTCGCAGTACTCAGGACCCCCAGGGGCAGGGAGGGACACCCAACGGGTTCCTGTTTCAGGGGAGATCAGGAGCGTCGTAGACCTCCCTCTATCGTGCGACCACAAGCAGGCCGGGCTTACACCCCAGTTAAGCCTTTAGATAATTGTGCGACCGTGGGCAAGTCGCAGCCTTTCTTTGAATTTGAATCTCGTTTCCTCATCTGTGAAATGGGAGAACAATAGGTGCCGTTCTCGGAACGTCCGAAGAATCAGAAAAGCTTAAGATGGGTGAAAGCTCGGAGGCTTAAGATGCTGCGCGGGGCACAGGGTTTTGTCCTCCTCTTCCCAGGATTCAAAGTTCAAGGGTGAAGCCGTTCTGGCTCTCAGGTGAGGGGGAAGGGCCGGCCACGGATCAGGAAGGGCGTCCTTTCCCACCTCCACCCTGCGGGAAGGCACGGAATTCTTCCCACCTGGCGCGTGGCACGCGGGACCCTACGGATCAGTGCGTGGGGTCCTCCCTCGGGGCTTGACGTCACTGCCGCCCTGTGACGTCACGGTGGGCGCCCCTGAGGTCACGGGGCCGCGGCGCAGACAAAGGCCCGGCATGCCTCCGGCCTGGGTCCTCCCCCGGCGGCGTCTCCCACCCCCACCGGCCGTCCCCTGCTCCCGCCGGGCCGCACCTGAGGAACTCCTGCAGGCAGGTGTCGCAGAAGCGGTGGCCGCAGGTAGAAACCTGCACGGGCTCGCGCATGGGCTTCCCGCACAGCGGGCACAGCAGCCGCCGCTTGGGCTTCTCCAAGAACTTGTAGTCAAAGCCGGGCATGGCGGGCGGGCACGGGCAAGCGGGGCCGGGTTCGCGGCGGCCCCACAGCCCGCGCCTCGCTCCAGCCGCGCTCCCGGCTGCGGGCGGCGCCGACTGGCAGCCGCGGCCTGCGCCCAGCCCTTGAGCTCGCCCGCCGGAAGAGGGGGCGGGGCCGTGCCCGCGCGGTCCTAGTGCCCGCCCCGCAGGGCTCCCCACCCACCCGGCGTTGCGGCAGCTTCGGGCTCGGCACTCAGACAGGCTCTCCCCCTCCAGGAAGCAGGGTCTCCTCTTTATGCTTGGGAACAGAGATCGAGGCCCCGCTACTCCCCAGGGCCGGGGGTGGGGTGGGGGGGGGAGCTCTGATGCTGGATGGGGCGGAGAGCCTCGGGGGACGGGCCGCGCCACAAAGATTCGCTTCTCCGGAGTCAACAGCTCGGCCTCGGGGGCCACGTGTCACCCAGGGGCCCGGGGCTCCAGCTTCCAGGTGCTAGGCAGCTGAAGCCTGGCAACCAGATCCGGGGAGCCCAGCTGGGCGAGGAGGCCGGGCTGGGAACTGGGCCAGAGGAACCTCGGCCCGGGCCTCAGGCTGCGCCCACATTCCTCTCTCCACCGCGGCCCTGCAGCCCAGATGGAGCCCAGCCCAGCCCTGGGGTGGCCGCCACCCCCAGCCCTCAAGAGACCACACTCTAGGCAGGCAGCTGATTTTTTATTGGCGCTATTTCCCAGTCATCTGGGAAACTAGTCTGGTCCAGCCAGCTACCCTTTCTCCCAACGTGCTTTGGGGGAATGGCATGGGGTTAAGGGCAACCTTCAGCAGGGATGTCCTCTGCGGTATACTGCAGCCCATGCACTCCCCCAGGGGAAGGGAGGCACTCAGATTGTGTAAACCCCTGCCTCAGGATATAGGAGTGGGGGCAGGTGGTAGCACTCCCGGGACCTCCCTGCCCCAGGCAATGCAGGGGCTAGGCCTCTGGAATGGCCAGAACAGGCAGGCCCCAGCTTGCCTTACTCCAAAGCACTGAGCTGCGCTCCCAGTAGACACCTGCGACTTATTTTCAAACTGGGCTGGGGGAAGGGGCAGCATCTAGGTGGAGCCACAGCTACCTCCAGCCTTTTTCTGCAGAGGCTCTGGAGACCTCCCTGCTTCCAAAAGTTACGTCTGGCCTCCAACTCTAGCCAGGCTGAACGCTGGGGACGTTGACTAAAGATAAGAAGGGGTGGGGAGGGGAAAGAGGGACGTTGGGGGAATAGGGTGGGTTGAGTTTTACATATCCAGGGCCAAAGGCAGAGCAGGGGCTTTACTGGTTCTTATACCCCATTGATGATACAATCCAGGGGGCTGGTCATGCCTGAGGCACCTGCACTTTTCAAGAACATTTACAGGAGAAGCAATATTGGGGTCGTCCAGAGGTGTATCCAGGTGCCTCAAGGGGGGACTGGCTCATCTGTGACCGCTGGAGAGCACAAAAGAGAAATCCCTGCAGCCTCCCAGAGGGCGATGCCTCCAGCAAGCCTCAGCTACTTCCACTCTCACCCCCACACTGGGCCCTGGACTCTGGACCCTGCCAGGCCAGAAACAGAGGTTCAAACTAAACTGGACTTGAGGGTTGGAGGAGAAAGAACGCATTTGGGCCCTGGGGAGGAGCGGAGGCAGCCCTTCAGGCACAAGAAGCACCTACCCTTGCCCACCCCAGGAGCTCACTTTTGCCCAGCAGCTTCTGCTTTCATTTATCTGGGGGCTGAAAATGCTTTTAATAATTTGGGCTGTGACCACTGGGGATGGGAACGTGGGCAAGGGCCAGCTGGGTTAACCCTTGTGTGGGTGAGGGTGAAGTTATAACTCACGGCGGATAGCCAGGAGAGTGTTTCCATGGCAACAGGACACAGAAGTCACTGTGTAGGGGTGTGTCTCATCCAGCTGCACTGGCCTAGGGAGTCCAGCATCCTCATCCCTCCTTCCCAGTCGACCTCGGGCCCCTTTGCCCCAAGAGTACACTTCACTTTCTGCCAAAGAGAATCCCAAGGAGAGAAATGGGAGAAAGACATACCTTAGCAAGCAGCTAGCTTCCTAGATTGCCATACTGGCCCCAGCATGGGGTTGCTGAGTTCAGTAGCCCTGAGCATAACCCCCCATTGCTCCTGGGTCTGCGCACACCCCTACCGGCCCCCATAGTGCCCACTAATCACCTGCCCCAATGGCCACAGTGAAGGCATCCCCACAGGCCACCATTGCTATCTTGATTCCCTGGAGGCCTTGGACCTGACAAGGTACCCGGCTGACCCGGCGAGCGATGGTACCCAACTGCCCATGCTGATTGCTGCCGAATGTATAGCAGTCACCAGAGGCTGTAGGGGAGGAGAGAGGAAAGGAAGGAAAGGGTGCCTCAACAGAGGGCCCAAGGAAGCCAGGGGAGCCCACCTTTGGCCTCCTGTGCCCAGGTCCTACTTACCAGTTACAGCAGCTGAATGAGCAGTGCCCAGGTCCACGCTCAGCAGGGGCTCGCGGTCCAGGGGTGCAGAACCTAGTGGTGTGAAGCTCAGGGCCTCCTCCACTTGCTGGTGTGGGGCAGGCTCCTCCCCTAGGGAGAGATGGTCCAGGCCCAGCTTGTTGAACCTGAGGGCAGAGCCAAAAGCCAAGTCCAGCTGACACAGTTTATATAGACTGTCCTCCCCCCACGTATCTGGGCAGGAGCTGGCGCACCAGGGGACATATCTTACACTGGGTTGAACCCACAGAACACTCAAGACCCGCTCAGCTCTAATCCCTGGTGGGAGGTAGGCAATGACAGATGGAGCACTGGCAGCTAAGGGAGGTCGGGGAGGGCAGGCTAGCCATTGTAGTGCACCTAGTTCACGTACCTGTTGCTCCCACAGGCCAGGGCTTGGCCGGGCACAGTGAGGATCATGGAGGAGTCAATGCCACATACAACCCGCTGGGCTTCCTGTCCTGGGGGCATGGGTACCTGCTGGGGGCAGCTGTGGGACTCCCTGTTGCCTAGTCCCAGCCGGCCTACAAGGAGAAACCGGCACTGGGCTAGTTTGAGCTTGTCTAGCTTAGTGATACTAGGATAAGGAGGACCCACAGGGCAGCATGAGTGAAGGCTGTTCCTGACTGAAATGCCCATCCTTGGCCCCTCCGTGGGTCAAAATTCTACTCCTTTAAGGCCCTGTTCAGGTGCCACATCTCTCTTCTCCAGGTAGAGTCCCTTGCCATTCCTTGTGTTCCCACACCTCTGGACCTTGGGTGAGCCCTGATGCTGTCTGTCCTCTATCATGTTGGAGATGTGTCATCCTTCCTCCATCTAGACTGAGTCCTCCAGGAGGACGAGGACCCCTATCTAAGTCATCCCTAGTTTCAATGCCCAGCCTGATGCCTGACCCAGGGAGGGGCACAACATATATTTCTGGATGAATGAAATCTCTCTCATTACATCATGAGCACCCGAAGGAATCGACATCATGTTCATCTTGTCTCAGCACCCAGCACAAGGTGGGCACATATTGGGTGTGCAATAAAGGTTTGTCGAGTGAATAAATGAATCAGAGAGAAAAGGAGGAGGAGAAAACAGGCCATAGGGTAGAAGATGGCTATGAAGAGGAACAAATCATGGCTGGGGGGTTCCAGAGGCTAGAACAGAGTGAAACCTTACCACCATCTCCGCGGCCCCAGGCAAATAGTTCTCTCTCAGTGGACAAGGCCAGCACATGAGACGCCCCACAGGCCACCTGCACCATCTCATAGCCCAGCAGGGCCTCCACAATGGTGGGCTAGACAGAGAGGAAGCAAGGGCAGGCTGGGCAAGGGGCCTGGACTAGCCACCTGGCCTCAGCACCCTCTGTAGGGAGGAAGTTGGAGGCTGCAAATTCTCATGAGGTGGCTGTCTCTTTAACTCCCCCCCCACACACATATTGCAACCACTGGGGAAGCCTGGTCTTTCTGTACTTCCCCAGATGCTGCCCAGAACAGGCGCAGCCTGGGAGGTACAGGGACCTGTGGCTGCTGGGGATTCCCCTGCCTCCAAGCTGGGTGTCAGCTCTCAAATGTGGGATGCTTGCCATCTCCCCACTTCCTCCTCCCCAATGTACACTCAAAACCCACCTGGCTGATGTCATTGAGGCTGCCATGGCCTAGGCACCCATTGCTGCCACTGCCAAAGGTCATGATGATGCCTCGGTCTGGGGAGGGGAGTAGTGAGGAAAGGGAAAGGAAAGAGGTTAGGCTGTTTTTCCAGACAGACCAGTGCAACCTTGGATCGGAGGAGCAAGAAAAAGTTAGCTGGAGGCTAGGGCTGGAAGAATTGGATGGGGGGAGAAAAGGACTGGGGTCTTTCTTCCCAAGTGTGTGACTTTGGACAAGTGACAGCCTCTGAGCCTTAGTTTCTAGATCTGTCAAATGGGGATGATATAACTGCCTTGTCAGGCCTGCTGTGAAGGTAAAGGAGATCGGGTAAGTAAAGCACTCCCCTGGAAGATAAAAGCATTATTAAGTGAGCAGTTAGCAAATGATAGGCAAGGAAGGAAATTGCTCTGGGGGGGGTCTTCTTATAGCTGAGTCCCCACAGGCGAGTCCCCTGACCGGCTCACCAGTCAGGCAGGCCGTGAAGAGGTCCCCACAGGCCACATGCTTGATAGTCACACCCGACTGGCCCTCCAGGAAACGGGAGATGAACTGGGGCTGCTGCTGCTCCACCGCCCCAGGGAGGAGGGGGCCCCCTCCAGCGCCTAGGGGCGGGGCCTGCGAGGGGACAGGGGAGGGCGTGGGCGGCGCCTGAGTGCTCAGCTCCTGAGCCACGCCCCCCTCCATTCAGGGCCCCACCCCACCCCCACCCCCGCCTGCTCACCTCCCAAAGTATGAGGCGCCCAGAGCGCGTGACGCCAGCCTTCTGCGTGCGCCCCGCTGCCACCTGGACCACCTCTGTGTTGAGCATTGGCAGCCGCAGCGGCACACTGAGCCCGCCACCCCACACGTACACCGATGACAGGGGCGGTGGAATGGCCGGCCGGGCAGGTCCCCGGGGAACACCTGCGGGGACAACTCATCAGGCCTATTAAATTGGTGGGACGGACTTCCTTGATGGTCCAGTGGATAAGACTCCACGCTCCCAATGCAGGGGGGCCGGGTTCAATCCCTGGTCGGGGAACTAGATCCTGCAAGCATGCCGCAACTAAAAATCCCCACGTGCTGCAACAAAGATCCCCACATGCTGCAACTAAGACCCCGCACAGCCTAAATTAATTAATTAATTTTAAAAAATAAATTGGTGAGAATGCCATGGTGTCCGTCGGAACCCCTGCGGTCGCCCCGACTTACCTCTGCAACGGCCACTGGTGGTCCTGCCCCCTGTGCTGCCGGGGGCCATGGGTGGCCCGGTGGCCGGGGGCTTCTCTGCCCTGCAGGACAGATGGGGGCCTCAGGACAAGGACCCTCCCTGGCATCCCCACACCCAGAAATGGTGGACTTGCCGAGAATGCCCCTCTCTGCCCCAGGCCTACTGTGCTCCCACGGGGTGCCCCACTGCTGCCCAGGGCCCCCTCCCTGCACCGGCCTCCGCATGCGGACGCTGCCCAGGTCGGTGTGGAGGCTGAGGAGCGCCCGGATGCAGAGGGGCTGCGCCATGATGTGGCTGAGCGGTGGCCGCTGTGCAGGCTCCAGGCTGAGAAGACTCAGAACCAGCTGGCGGAGCTCAGGGCTGTACCGGTCAGAGATGGGCGCAAAGGTGCCGCTCATGATCTTCAGCACCAGCGCTGGCAGGTTCTGTGAAGGCACCACGTGTGGGGTTGGCCAGAACCTCAGGCCAGGCTCTTAAACTGCAGCACCCCCAGCTCCAGCCCCAGCCCCTAGCCTGGTGGGGTGGCCACAGCCCTGCACTCAGAAGCCATCCGTCTGGTGAGGGGACTCTCAGGATGATAGGGGAGCCAAACTCTGCTTTCAAGAACCTCTGAGAGGGGAGCTGCAGCCATGTCAGCTGGCTGCATGTTGGGAAAACTCACGTCTTGCCCTTAGGAGGGTCCCTAATCTGAAGGGAGAGCCCTACCCTCAGTTTAATGGGGGTCCCAAGCCCTACTTTAAGGAACCCATAGTCTTAGGGAAGCCACAGCCCTGGCCTGGGGTAATCCACCAGTCTGATGAGAGAGACATAAGTGAGCCACAAGAGAAGAAACACAGAAGTGGTTGGAGCCAAGGACTTCAGGAGATAGAGGTAGGGATCTCAGTTGTCCCCCTGGGGGGACCTACTCACCGCAGCCTCAAAGGCCCTCTTGAGGCTGGCCAGCTCATATAGGACACAGCCCAGGGCCCAGATGTCACTCTTCTGGTTGTAGGGCTTGCCCTCACACAGTTCAGGGGAAATGTAGCATGGAGTACCCACCACCTGCAGGAGGGAAGCTGATATTACAGCCCCGGGGTGGGAGGACCAAGGCTCTGCCCAAAAGCCCACTTAGAGACAGCTTCTCCCCAAAGTAGGCAAAAGTGCTTCCTCCTGCAGGACCATCCAGCCAGGGACTAAGGGGCCAAGGTCTTGGGGGGGTGGGGCTGGGGACAGGGATGCGAAGTAGACCTTGGCCCTCAAAAGCTCCAGCACCCTTGAGGTCCCCTCCATGCCCAGGCACCGTGTAGGCCTTGCTCTTGCTGCTGAGGATCTTGGAGATGCCGAAGTCACCAATCTTGACGACCATGCGGTGTTTGTCTAGAAGGATGTTCTGGGTCTTGAGGTCCCGGTGCAGGATGAGGTGGGTGTGCACGTGATGCAGCGCCAGCAGGATCTGCACAAAGAAGTGCAGGATGGTCTCCTCCTCCAGCAGGGAATTACAGCGCTTCTGGATGAACTCAGCCAGGGTGCCACCTGCAGTCGCAAGGAACTAGTCAAGATCCAGGCTTCTCCATGCTTGAGATTTTCCTTTTATGAAACTAAAGACCCAGACAGGGCAAGGGCCTGCCAGTGTCACACAACTGGGGTCAGAACCCTATACCTCTGACCCTCAGCCAAGCCCATTCCAAGGAGGGAAGCTGGCTGATCTGTGCCTGCCTGTCCCAGAGGTGAGAGGCCCTTGGATCCAGGCCAGTGCAAGGAGGCTGGCCCACCTGGTGCATATTCCATGGCGATCATGAGAGCCTTGTCCTCCAGGAAGTTCTCGTAGTACTCAATGACATTGGGGTGGTTGAGCAGCTTGAGGACCTGGCACTCATTCTGGGCTGCCTGCCTCTCTTCCTTGGTCATCTGCTCCACTGGGATCTGCTTGATGATCACCAGCTTCTGGTCAGCCTTGCGAAGGCACAGGTGAACAATCCTGAGGACGTGGAGTACAGGAGTGGGTACCAGCTGAGCTTCCAGCCACATATCAGGCAGGGCAGCCCTGGTGACTGGGTGTTCCTAAGGACAAGGGAATTGGCACCTAGACTAAGAAGTCATCTAAGCTGGTGCGCAGAACACTGAGTTTAGGAATAGGGAGAACCGACCACAAGCTGTCTGAGACCTTGGGCAAGTCGTTTAACTTATCTGGGACTCAGTTTCACCACAGGCACAATGACTGTGCCTAATAATAGTCTTGGTCTCTGTAAGTCTGCATAGGCTCTGGAGTTAACTGCCTGGTTCAAATCCTGGCTCCTCCTCTTACTAGTTATCTGGTCTTAAATTATGTGACATCAGGATCTGGAAAGTAGGATCGATCTCACAAGGTTGTTGAGAGGATCAAATGAGAAAATGCATGTACTGCACTTAGCACAGCGCCTGGCACATCAAAAATACTCAGTGAGTAGGAGCCATTCATTTTATTATTTTCTGCCAATTCTGTAGTCAGTGTTCATAAAAGCAGGGTTTTGTTCTTTCTCCTTCACCACTATAGCCCCAGTGCATAGCCTAGTGCATACCCCAGCACTTAGTAGGAGCTCAATAAGTATCTGTTGAATGATGGACTATCTAAGTATCAACTGTATATCTCCAGCTCAGACCTCTCCTCTGAGCCTCAGACTTACATATTCAACTACCTGCTTTGCACCTCTACCTGAATGACTGGCAAGCATCCTGAATTTTAACAAATACAAAACTCTTGATTCCTGCCCTTGAAACCTTTCCTTCCTCAGTTTCTTCCATCTCAGTAAATGACACCACCATCCCCCAGTTATTAAAGTCCCTAAGTTAGTAAAGTCAGACACCTGAAAATCATGCCAGAATCTTTCCCCTATCTCACACTAACATCAGTAAATCTTGTTTCTACTACCTCCAAAATACTGGGAACCCACCCATTTCTCTGTGTCTTCTGCTATAACCCTTGGCCAAATTATCATTTCTTGCCTAAAATACTGCACTAGACTTCAAATGGTTCCTTTCACTCTTGTCACCCTCAAATCTAAATTCTACACAGCAGCCAGAGTGACATTTTAAAAATGCAAATCATATCAAGACCATTCCTTTGCTTAAACCTCATTTCCTTTACACTGCAAATAAATTCAATTCCTTTACCTCAGCCTACAAGGCCGTAATTTGGTTCCCGCCCTCTGTGACAATCACATTTTATTCCATTCTTTACCTTGCCCACTACATTCCAACTACATTAGTCTTTTTCTCAGTTCTTTGAATACTCTGAATTCTTTCCCACGTGAGGACCTTAGCATAAACTGTTTCCTCCGCCTGAGAAGCTCTGCCTTTTTCAGACTACATACTGGTCCTCATTCCTCAAGTCTTGGTTTGAAACTTCACTTCTCAGAGAAATTTTCCCTGATCATCCCAAATGAATACTCCCTGGTGTTGTACTCTATTCTCGCCGTTTGTTAATCACTGCTTTAACAATGTCCTGTTTATTGTATAATTTTCCGATAGTCTGTAAGCTCCGAGACGGAAAGGAGCACGCCTGTTTGGTCTTAACTGTATACCCAGTATCGAATGCCTGACGTGTATAGTTGCTGCTCAACATTTGTTGAATGAATGAGTCAGGATCAAAGAACAAACTCTGCGGGGGGCCGCAAAGGCTGGCCGGGGGCGTGACCTCCTTGGAGGCGGAGTTTCCCAACCAAGACTAGGACAGGAAGCCTGCGCAGGGCTTCCCGGATTAGGCGCTCACGCATCGGGGCGGGGCTAAACGGGTAGCGATTTTGCTGTCGGATTTGGGGCTTATTTTCCCTCTTCCCGAGCAATTGCCTCCCCCAGAGCCCTGGCTCACCCGAAGGCACCTCTGCCCACCACTCGGATCCGCTCGTACTTCTCCATCTCATTTCTCAGAGTCACATTTCCGGAACCCCAAAACTCAGACACAGCGCGTGCGCGGGCCCGCCCTCTCTAGAACCACGCCCCCTGCACTGCAAGATAATTGAGGGGCGGAGCTAGTGGAGCTAGGTGTTGGTTCAGCCTCTCATTTGTCTCCGCTAATTTGCACCGTCCCTGCAGCCCGGATCCGCAGTCGCCCTCCCAGTGTGCAAGGAATGGGGCGATATGCCATTTCTTGGCATGCCCCGCAAAAGCCAGCACCTTACCAGCTACTTCCTACACACGTGGCCGCATCCGGCCCTCGCAAAGCTTCCTTAGACCGCAGGGGTTCCCCGCGCAGGCCGAGTGAGGGTGGGAAGAAAGGACCGATCTCTCTCTGCCCCCACTCTTTGCCCACTAGTGACGCTGTTTCCGAGGGAGAGGGCAGATTCTCACTGGCACGCAAACGATAAACACTACCAAAGCTGAACCGAGTCGGCGCTCTCAGTCTGTGGGGCAGGGTGCCGGATTAGTTTCGTGTTTGCCTAGGGAGGGACCGGGGAAACCCCGACCTGTGCAAGTTGATTCACCTAGGGAGGACGTGACGCGGTCTCCGGGCTGTCCCGACTAGTGAGCACTGCGCTCGTCAACACCCTCAACTCCCCAACGCACACATACAACGCTGCCGCTGCCGCAGAGTAATCTGCCTTCAGTTCTCAACTAGAGAGAACTTCCTTGGGGGAAGATGGGAGGGAAGTGGACTACTACCTGAAAGCTTCGGGGAGAAGGGGAAAGACCCTTGTTCGGCTGATATGGGTTCAAGGCTTCTGCCCAGAGGTAGGGGGTCGGTTAGTACAATCGTCTAAGATCTTGACCAGAAGTGAGTTTAATTCCAGGTCGCTCCCTGGCGCCTCCTGCACTTCACGAGCTCCATAAAAGCTCAGTTTAGGGAGCAGGAAGGATGGTGATTAGTTAAGGGATAGCATCCCTATTTCTGAGGGGCGAGGAAAGTGAGGAAAGGGGTGTTTATCTTCAGCTCCCACCCTGCCCCTTGAAAGGGTGCCCAAACCTACCCACATGGAATGACCACTGGAAGGGCCCCTCATGAGGGCCCCTCAGTCTGGCTCAGGCCGCTGTGGCTGTCGGACAAAGCTGCCCTGTGAGCAAAGGGGAGCACAGAGTGGAAGGCCGCTCAGCCGGGACACTCCGTGCTCTCACCTAGAAACCGATTGGGCCTTGGTTGACCAAGAAGCCCCAGAGGGGTTAATGTGTAACCTTGGAGCCATCAGGGGAGGCAGAATAAACACCCAAACCGCTTTGCGCCTCGGGTTTCTGGCTTTTCCTCCCTCTCGCAGCACCTCCACTACCTCCCCCCCGCCCCCGCCCCAACTACTCCTTTCTCCTTTACCCCTGTCCCCGCCTCTCCGCCGCCCTTCAGTTTGCCTGGTTCCTTCGCGGGCGGGAGGGGATCCCGCGCCACGGTGAGGACAGGCTGACACCTAGTGGTCGCGAGCTGCAATTGCTCCACGCCACTGGCCTGCGGAGTGAGAGTCACCCCAGCGGCCTGGGCAAATCGGCCGTCTTCCCCGCCCTAGCCTCCAGGGAGCGGGGAGAAGAGAGCTGGGACTGTCTGAGGGGGGACTATGACTGCCGCGCGGCCCCGGGAACCCAAGAGCCGGACGGGAGATGGGTGATGAGTTAGTCGAGTTTCTAGGCACCGACTCGGTGCGGGACGAGGTAGAGGCAGGTAAACGTGTTCGTCTTGGGCTCGAAGAAGCTAGTGATCCAGTGGAACAAGGTCCGGGCGGAGATCACAGTCCGAAGCGGGGCACCGGCTGGTCCCCAGAACCAGGGATTAAGGACGTGGGTTGTGTCGGGCCTCGCTTAGTTCTGCCCACAAAGGAGTTGAGGGCGGGCAGAGAGAGTTCTCTCAGTACCCGCCCAGGCAGGGGAGCCGGGACCCCTGGGGAAAGTTGGGCATGCGGGTTAACTAGGCCAAGCGAGCGAAGTGGGACTCCGTCGGCAGTCGGGAGCTGCCAGCGAGGGGTGGCTCGAAGGCGGCGCCCCGAGGACAGCCCATTTTGCCCGAAGTCCGCGGGAGCCTGGAGGCGCCGGGGGGGGGCCCCGGGAAATGGGGCCCGCGCACTCCGCGCTGCAGAGGCGCCGGAGGGGCGGGGATAGGCGGGCGGGGCGGGACGGGGGCGGGGGCAGAGGCCGGCTGGGAGGGAACTGGAGGAGCGGAGGGGCCTAGAGGTCTTCGCCGAAACCGTGTGTGTGAGGCCGGCGGCCGGCAGGAGAGGCGTCCGGGGTGGACTGGCCCGAGAGGGAGCCCCTTTCCCGAACGGCCGGAGGAGGCCACCTAGAGGGCGGACAGAGGCAGGGAGGGCCAGCATGCCCCCAATGCTCTTCCCCGCCCTGCCGCTGCTCCTGGGCGCCACGCTGACCTTCCGGGCGCTCCGGCACGCGCTCTGTCGCCTGCCTCTGCCTGCGCACGTGCGCGCCGACCCCCTGCGCACCTGGCGCTGGCACAACCTTCTCGTCTCCTTCGCCCATTCCATTGTGTCAGGGATCTGGGCGCTGCTGTGGTGAGTGAAGGACTGGGGGAGTGAAGGTGGCTAGGGGACCCCGCATTGCTCTTTCCATCACTCACCGGCGGGCTAAGGCCCAGGCAGTCTCACCCGATTCCCGGTTTAAAATGCTGTCCAATCAGGAGCGGCAGCAGCGCCGGGGGGGGGGGTTTCTCACCTGGGAAACAGGAGACACCTGGGTTTCAGCCGAGCCCCTCCTGGCTCCCCTGTCAGCCAATAGCGCCAGCCCAGACCCTCCGGGGACTGGCAAGGGTAATGGCGGTGGGAGTCGTGGGTCCTTGGGGATACTGAGATGAGAGCCTGCCTTCTCCCTTCCCTTCCAGTATATGGCAGACCCCTGAGATGCTGGTGGACGTTGAGAGCGCATGGTCGCTTTCTGGCTATCTGCTTGTTTGCTTTTCTGCAGGTAGGTCTTGCCCAGGAAGCATTAAAAAGGGGGGACAGGGATAAGCTTGTTCAGTACCATTTATGACCTCTTCCCCCAACCCTCTGCTAGGGTACTTCATCCACGACACACTGGATATTGTGGTTAGCCAACAGGCACGAGCTTCTTGGGAATACCTCGTCCACCACGTCATGGTGAGAAGCAGGGGATGTGGTATAGGCCTGGTGCTAGCAACCTAGTCTCAGCTGTCTTTCTGAACCTGGGAGGTAAAGACCATCTTTTCTTAACTCCATCCCCACCCTGTGTCCCACATCTCATGCTAGAATGCTGAGGGCTGGCAGTCTCTGGGCCCTTGCTTCACTATTTGAGGCCAGCAATCATGGCCTCACCTTCTTAAGACTGGAAACTCCACCCAGAATCTGTGGGCAGGGATCAAAATTTAATCTTGACTCCACTGTAAACTATATTTCAGAAAGCAAATAAGGGAAGATTTCCTACCCCTCAATCTGGTAGCCTTGTTATTCCCACCAACTTAGAGGAAAGCCTTGACATCTGGGTTCCCTAACCCATTCTCTCCCTTGCCTTGTAGGCTATGGGTGCCTTCTTTTCAGGCATCTTTTGGAGCAGATTTGTTGGTGGGGGCGTCCTAACACTGCTGGTGGAGGTCAGCAACATCTTTCTCACAATACGCATGATGATGAAGATCAATAATGCCCAGGACCTCCTCCTCTATCGAGTCAACAAATACGTCAACTTGTTTATGTACTTTCTTTTCCGCCTGGCCCCTCAGGCGTACCTCACCCATTTCTTCCTGGGTTACGCCGGCCAAAGGAACCTGGGAACCTTTCTGCTGGGCATCCTGCTTATGCTGGACGTCATGATCCTCATCTACTTTTCCCGCCTCCTCCGCTCTGACTTCTGCCCCCAAGATGTCCCCAGCCGGCAACACAAAGACAAGTTCTTGATTGAGTGAAAAACGCAGTTAGCGACTTGTGGCAAGGACAGCAAACACAGCCAAGAACACCCTCACACGGACTGAGAAGAGACTTATTAGCCCCTTGCCTGAGGTGTCCTCTGGGGCCAGCCACTCCACCTTTCAAGCCTGCACCCACTATTGAAAACACTAATGAAAGCACTCTTCTGAAGTCCTTGTCCTTCCTTGGGCAAGGGGTGAGGGAAGCAGACAGACCGGTTGGACATGGTAGATGGGTATGGGGACAAGGTGCTACCGGAAAGCCAGCCAACCCACACTGCCCTGAAATGGATGCTAATGAAAACTCCGGATACTGGTTTCATACAAAGCCTCTTCCAGAGATGAAGGAAGGGGTTCTTGCAAAGCTTCTTGCTTGGTCTCTTACCTCATGATGGAGGCCAAGTTGTAGTTGTCCTAAGATGTGTCTGGGTCACAAATATCTGTTACAGGTATGGTGAGGTGATAGGGCTGAGTGTTCCAACAGGTTAAGTAGACCAAGAGTCTTGCCCAAGCCCTGTTACTTAGGTGTGTATATACCATAGTATGGCCTCCCACCCAGAAATCCACAGAAAGAAAAGAAGCATACATATAGTGAAAACTTTTATATTTAGAATTAGTCAGCTGGACTCAGTTTAGATGATCCCAATCTGAAAAACAAAAGGGAGCTTTGTTACTGGGAGTTGAAATGTGAATATTAAGCGGGAAATGTCAAAGTTAAAAAGCAAACTGAGGGCACATGGTGAGGGGTAGGGCCTATTAAAGACGGGGCGCAGTCAGTTGAAACTAATCACCGAAGTCAAGGTTTGGTAACTAACAGACACATCATTTGCACCCAGGAAGCGGGGGTGTTAAGGAGTTTGTAGCAAAGGAAGCTTACTTTGTTGGCAACATCCAAAGCGTCATAGTCAGGAGCCAGTCGAACATATGCCTTCTTCTCTCCATCAGGCCTAGGGTGGAGAAGGAAGCCTTAGTCCCTACTGCCCTCACTGCCCCCATATGCCCCTCCTTCCTCCCCAGTCTTCTGGTGTATCAGTGGTTCCTTTGTTCATGTCATTCCCCCCCCACAAATAGTGATTTTTCCATCATTTGTGCAGAGGGGGTCAGGGAAGCCACTAAGCCACAAATGAAGCCAATTCCATTTTATGGGAAACACCACAGGCATCCTGACATTAACTGTATCTTACTCTAGGGTCTGCTTCTGTCTAGAGGTAGGGATCAAGAAAATGAGCATCAACCCCTTAAGTCCTAGAGGCAGGACAGCTGATGTTTCCTCAGAAGTCCATACTCCATACAAGGGGCTGCAATTACAGCAGGGGCTGCTCACTGGGAAGTCTACTTCTGATCCCAAAAGCAGCATCAAGGAATTGCATGCCATTCTGGTTTCCTGGCTTCTGACAAGAGGCCCAGAGGCCCCGGGTTCCTCCCCATCCCACAGGACTCCACTCACCTGATCAGGGTGTTGACCTTAGCCACGTCAATGTCATAGAGCTTCTTCACAGCCTGTTTAATCTGGTGCTTGTTGGCCTTGACATCCACAATGAACACCAGTGTGTTGTTGTCTTCTATTTTCTTCATGGCTGACTCGGTGGTGAGGGGGAACTTGATGATGGCATAGTGGTCAAGCCTGGGAGAGGCAAAATGGGGTCAGCTGGCTTGGGCCCAGTACAATAAAGAATGGGCCCTCTTTTTGAGCCCAGGTGCATCAGACAAGGAGGTAGCAATCATTTGTGTCAGACTTTGGTCGCTGAACAGTGTCATCACGTGCACCCTGAAACTTAGGGACCTGGAGCCTCAGCTTGGGGACATCTCAAGGGCTTTCATCCATTAAGTGATTAAACAATCATTTTTGAGTTCCAACTTTACTCATTCTTTTACCTGACCTCAACATTTCTGAAGAGCAAATTTCTAGAATAAATTTGAGACTTAAGAGGTTAGACAACTTAACCCAAGAGCACAAAGTTAAGACTATGGAATCTAGAAACTCAGGCTAGGGTTCCAAAGAATGTTGGTGCTTCACTATGAGGCTGAATTGACTGTTTTGCCCCCTTTGGTTGCTGAAAACTGGCTTACAAGCCATCAATTCTTGAAAGCAACTTTTTATTTACAGCTCAGGTTAAAGTTACAGTGGCCATCTAACACAGCTTACCCCCTGAAATTTAGAGAAGCAAGGCTCTATTTGCCTGGGTACACCATCCTCTTTTGAAGAGAGATCAGATCTCAATCTCTCATCACACTAAATTCTAGGTCCAAATGGCAGTAAAAAGTCTGTCAAGTCCATTTCTCCGTGGACACAATCCACTCTCCTGCCTTTTTCTTAGGAAGCAGTGGGAGGACCCACTGGTGGTAACCACTACCATGGCTCTACTCTAAACAGTGCTCCCTAAGGTCGGTCATTACCACTAGTGACACTGAAACACTCAAGTACCCTAACCTTTTCCACTCACTCCCCCAACCATTCCTTGAGTGTAAACATTTGGGAAAGTGAATGAAAAGAAGTTGCCATACACTGCTGCAGGTCTTCACTGTCCGATATAGATAAATGAATCTCACCAATCTGGCATCATCCCACATCCTCACCTTCAAGGACTATTCCCCACAGCAAAGATTTAAAAAAAGTGCAACGAGGAGCAACCTAAACCTGGAACCCCCAAACAAAGAACATCGAAGTCCCACTTCATACTCACAAGAAAGTAGACTACATATGAAATGATTAACCTAACAATTCGCTAATCTTGACAGTGGCTCTGGGTTGTTTTAAACAATTCCTGCTAATATGCTAAACACGCCTCCTTTCGTTTTTAAATAGGGCATTATTCTCTTCATACTTCACACTAGGTACCAACGTGGTTTTGAGAAGCCATGCTCTAGGTTTGGTAAATTTCCAAATTACCAATGGAGAATACCCAAACATCTTTTCATGGGTACGGGGCAGTACTGACTTGTTTCTCCTAGGGGCGCTCTTCCGAGGATATTTGGGCTGCCTCCTGAGCCGCAGTGTTTTGGGCCGTCGGAAGGTGGGTGACGTCCGGATCTTCTTTTTTTTGTGGCTGTGTACGCCTTTCAACACTGCTTTCTTGGCCTTCAAAGCCTTTGCTTTGGCTTCGGCTTTGGGAGGGGCAGGAACTGAGAGAAGGAAAGAAGGAAAGAAAAATCCCGACGGTGCGGGATTCAGAAATCAATCACTTCTGGCCTCAAGACCCATAGTGGGCGCCCCAGGCCACACATGCATCAGTGGTTCCTTTGAAGACATCACAAGTCTCAGGAGTTTAAAATTTTTCCATCATATGCACGTTTCTAGGGGGAACTTGGGATACGATGAGAAAGAAACTAGCAATGACCGAAAGCTTGACACTTGCTAAAAATGTGAACTAGTAGTTTTATGTATACCATCGCCCAGCCACTGGCGGAAAGTATATAGCCCCATTTAACATGGGGATAAAAGAGAAGCTGAGGGTACCGATTCCTTACAGGTCTAGAGACATGGAGCTCCCCAGAGCCGACTGTCTGGCTGTCCCCCGCAGGTGGTACCGGCCGGGCTTGCCTCCCCAACACCCTTCACTGAAGCCCAGACCGTGCGGCTGGGCCCACGCGCTCCTCAGCGTTGCCAAAACTCGAGGAGCTGTCCCACAGCACACACCGCAAGGCCTGGCCCGGCCACCATCCTCCCAGTCCATTCACTCTGCGGGGACCCCAGGCCAGCCAGCTGTGTATCCCCAGCCCCAGCACACACCTTCCTTCTTCGCTTTCGGCGCCATCTTCGTGAAAAGGGTTTTCGAGACTTGTTCCCACGGGCTTATAGAGTCAAGTCTCACAGAAGACTCGCGATACTTTTTAGTTAAAGCTGATTGGATACTCTGCAGCGCGACGCCCGCCGGGAATGGTAGTTAGATTTTATTTCCTCGCGAGAGGGATTAAACTAGCACCACCCCTCCGTTTGTTAGACCCTAAAGCTTCATGGGGGTTGTAGTGTTTTGGAGACGCGTGTTTATTTTATGTGGTGGGTGGATGGTGTAGCCTGCGGCTGCACGGGACTGAGCGCTTCACAGCTTGAGCAACTTTAGGGAGGAGGATTACAGGATTGCAGTTACACTGCAAACTGGAATTAATATACTGTAGTTAGATTGACTCAGGTAGAGTGAAGCAAAATTCTAGAACGTTAGAGCAGAATTTGCCCAGTCCAACTCCCTCAGACATCTGTGGAAATTGAGGTCGAGAGAGGGGACACTGCTTATTTATCACACGGTGATTAGGTGGCGGAAAAAGTCGAGTCAGGCGGAGGGGAAGAGCAAAGTGTCAGAAGAGGTAGGAGGTGGCCACATTGCCCCTATGACAGATTTCATGCGTCTTCCCGATAACACTCTTGAAGAGACTCTACCAATTATTCCAAATACCCAGAGATCAGATTTCTCCAGGATACGCTCGTTCTTCTTGGGAATAATTTCATTCACAGCCCCCTCCCTTTAAGCAGTCTTCTCTTCCTTGATCCAGTCATCTTTGCGTCCCCAAATTCAGTTCCTGACACAGAGCAAGGTTTAGTAAACGCTCGGGTTTTCTTCTTTGAACGACTGTGCTTATCCCATATCACATCGCCTTTCTGTCCTCCCCCTCCTCTCTTGGAATCACCTTTGAAGGTGAGATTTGTTGTGTGCTACCCCCTCTTCTAGCCTGCAGACTGCAAAAAGGAAAAGTCCTGGGGGAGTGGAGGTAGATTTCAATGGGGTCAGAGCGAAGAACGCCCATACCAAAGGAGAGTCCCCATGTCCCAGAGCGGTGACTTCTCCAAAGGGAGGAATTCTGGGTCCCCTAGCCCTCCTTTATCCTCCATCAAGGGAGGCAGCTTGGTCTTCGGCGCCCCAGGCCCCCAATCTAACACGGCAGCCTTGGAGGAAAACGCACCAGATTTCGGACCTCTCTCTCCTTGGTGGCACCTCGTTCCGACCCTGGCACCCCCTCTACGCTCCCCACCACCACCTCCCAGGGCAGAAGGGCGAGTGGGGGCAGACCCTATGAGTCACGTCCTGGGCCTGGAGTTAAGGAGGGAAGCGCCGCCTCTCCTAGGGCCCCTTCTCTCCCCCTTTCCCCTCCCGCTGGTTCCTGGCGCAGCCAGATGCTGCGCAGCGATCACCGATTCCCCATCACCAATTCGACTGGGTAAGGGTCCCCATGGAGGCTCCGCCCGGCACAGGAGGTGCAGGGGAGAGAGACCTTGGGGATCCCGATCTGGGCAGGTTCCAACCAGGGTGAGGGCGGGCCCGCAGCCGGGTGAGGCGTCTGCAGGGGGAGCTTGACCTGGGGCAGCGCTGGCGGGAGGAGGGGAGGGGGAGGCTGGGGCGGACTGCGAGGCCTGGAGCTGCCGGGAGAGGGGCGGGGGGCGGCCCTTTTCCAGGAATTTCCGGGGATCAAGTTACAGCGCTTGCGAAGGGAGAGCCGAGTGGGACGCGAGGCCCTGCAGCGCACTGGGCCCCTCGCCCCCTCCTCCAGCAGTCCACCGGCCGTGCTGTGCCGTCCCTGCCCACACTGACCCCGTGTGGCGGGGCCGCTCCGCGCCCCCGGGCTTCTCTGTTATGGTAGGGTCGCCTCAACCCCGAGTTGTCGTCGGGTCTTCACGGCCTCGAGTTATTGTAGGAACTATCCGGCCCCGGGTTATTGTAGGGTCAGCGCGGGCTCGGGTCCCCCCAGACGGGACTCCACGCCCCAACTTGGCGGCCGAGGGGTCTCCTCGCCCCCGAGTCGTCCTGGGGACGCCCCGGGCCCGGGTGATTGTGGGTTCGCCCCGGCCCCGGGTGATTGTCTCATCCCCGTGGCCCGCGGTGGTTGTAGCGTCCCCGAGGCCACGGGCTCCCGTAGGCTCCCCGTGGCCCCGAGTTATAGTCGGGACCCCTCGGTCGCGGGTGATTGTCGGGTCTCCACGGGCCCGGGTCGCTGGGGCGGATCAGGCCTCCGCGCCTTCTCAGGGCGCCCCTCAAGGCCGCAGGCAAGATGAACATTCTGGCGCCGGTGCGGAGGGACCGCGTCCTGACGGAGCTGCCCCAGGTAGGCGCCAGGGCCACGTCGGGCTTCTGGCTGCGGTGGGTGTGGGCGGGGAGTAGGCGGCACCAGACCAGTTACAGGCCTGCCGCCCAGCTAGGCCTGCTGCTTCTGGGTGGTCTCCTCCCCATCCCCCGCCGCGGGCTGCTTGGTTGCGGGAAGAGGGCCAGGAATGGGTGAGTCTCCTTCTCTTCCCTCCCTCTCAGTACCTGAGGAAGGAGGCCGCTTTGCACGTGCACAAAGACTTCCACCCCCGCGTCACCTGCGCCTGCCAGGAGCACCGGACAGGCACCGTGGGGTGAGTTAGAGACACCCGGAACGAAGTCCCAGGAAACCTGTAGTCAAAGCAAGGGTACAGAGGCAACATCTGGAGGCTCCGTTTCAGCTTTTACCAGCTATATGGTTATTCCCGCTTTGCATGCCCCTGTGTGCTCCTGTTTCTTCCAGCTAGGTTGAGGCGAGTCCTAAGAGATGGGGTGGGGTAGGAAGGTGGCAGTTTAATTCCTGACAGAGAGAAGGTGTCCAACATGAGGGCGTGGTCGCCAGCTCAGCTTCCCTCTTCCCACACACCATCTATTTGAGCTCCAGGGCAGGGAGCAGTCCTAGAGGGATGAGTCCCATTGTGGGTAAAAAAAGGTAACACTGTTAACAGTTGCCACCAGTAATTGAGCATTTACTGTGTGCCCAAGCAGTGTGTTGTATACTATTATTGTCTATTATTAAATGGAAAACACCACCACTTTTAAGATGTATCCTGATTTCAGAGATGTTAGAATGTATGTTTGTGTGTGTGTGTATGTCTCAGAATATAGGACATTTATCTCATCTTAACCTTCACAACAACCCAGTAAAATATATGTTAAATCCCCACTTAACAAAGGTTGAAACTGAGGCTCAGAGAAGCTGAGAAACTTGTCCTAAGTCATACAGCTAGTAAGTGAGAGCTGGAATTCAAAATCATGTCTCTCTGTTACTAAAACAAAAACACTCCTCCCCAGCATATCTGTCCAGGCCTGGTGTCTATGGTAACCTCAGCCTGGGTGCAGCTACCTTTGTGGACCTACTAGGGAGCATTGGGACTCCTCTGAGTGAAAGAGCTAGCGCTCACTTTTCCTGCCCACTCTTGTGTCCAGCAGATTTAAGATCTCCAAGGTCATTGTGGTGGGGGACCTGTCAGTGGGGAAGACTTGTCTCATTAATAGGTAAGAGGGTGCTGCAGCTGAGCTGGTCTGGGCTGGGCAGAGTGGGCCCAGGTCTAGCCAGGTGGGCTGGGCTCAGGACCAGAGCATCTGGTGCCCCCTCAGGTTCTGCAAAGACACCTTTGATAAGAACTACAAGGCCACCATCGGAGTGGACTTTGAGATGGAAAGATTTGAGGTGTTGGGCGTCCCCTTCAGTCTGCAGCTGTGAGTTCTTCCTCCACTCCTTCCCGCCGTTCCTTCTCCCAGCACCTATCTCCCACCGCAGCCACCAGCACCACCCTGCCCCACACATACCTGTGTTCCCCCCTCCTTCCTCCCAGCTGGGACACCGCTGGACAGGAGAGGTTCAAATGCATTGCATCGACCTACTACCGAGGAGCTCAAGGTAAGGGCCACGGTTAAGTGAGGTAGGTGGGAGCACCTGGCCTCTAGTCTAGGGCTGGAGGGATTGTGGAAATGAACCAGTAGTGTCTTCCCCAACAATCTGCATGTTTTCTTCCACTCTTCCAGCCATCATCATCGTTTTCAACCTGAATGATGTGACCTCCCTGGAACATACCAAGTACGTGCGCATGCTGAACTATAATGGGGGCTCTGGGAAGAGAAGGTTCAGAAAAGAGAGGGGTCAGGAGCATGGAAGGGAAGGAGAAGAATGTATCCAGGACCAGAGAGAGGGTCCCTGGGCATATAAGTGTCAGTGGGGGGAGCCTGTCTAGCTCCCTCATCCCTTGCTGTCCACTGTCTATGGCAGGCAGTGGCTAGCTGATGCACTCAAGGAGAATGACCCTTCCAGTGTGCTTCTCTTCCTCGTGGGTTCCAAGAAGGACCTGAGTGTGAGTGTGCCAGTGGGGGGAGTTCCCACCTTGACAAGGGAAACCCCACCCCCAGCATCTGACTCTGGCTTTCCCTCAGACTCCTGCTCAGTATATGCTAATGGAGAAAGATGCACTCAAGGTGGCCCAAGAGATGAAGGCCGAGTACTGGGCAGTCTCATCTCTCACTGGTGAGTCAGAGGCGTCTCGCCTTCTGCTGTGGCATTCCTGCCTACCTTGCCTCTCACTCCTACACTCCAGCTGTGCTCATTGACCCCAGGCCTGAAACTGCTCCCTGTGTCAGGTGAAAATGTCCGGGAATTCTTCTTTCGTGTGACGGCACTGACCTTTGAGGCCAACGTGCTGGCTGAGCTGGAGAAATCGGGGTCCCGGCGTATTGGGGATGTTATCCGTGAGTGCCCGCCTGGATGAGGGTGGCAGAGGGCACAGGGACCCTCCAATCCCTGCTTCACATGTTTCTCACCCTTCTTCAGGCATCAACAGTGATGACAGCAACCTCTACCTAACTGCCAGCAAGAAGAAGCCCATGTGTTGCCCGTGACGGGTGAGGGTACTGTCCAGAGACTGCCCAGCCCTGAGGCAGTGTGCCACCTTTACTCCCCCAGAGCTCAACCCCTGGACATTTGCACTGACTGTTTTTCCAGACCAAAGAGCTGCCCCTTGGTGGCAGTATCCCCAGAGGTGTAGCTGGGACCATGATAGTCACTTCCTGCTCCCAGGCACCGTGCCAAAAACTGGATGCCCCTCTCCTCCAGGGTCCTCCAGGTTGCCCAGTGGTAGGGAGGTGGGTGGGCCCTGCTGCTCTTACTCAGCCTGCTGGGCCCTCTGGGTTTGAGGATGCTTAATGGTCCCAGCCTCACACTATGCCTTATGCATTAAAATATCTGTTATTAGCAGGTTAGGTGCTGGAGTCCTTTGTGGGGGATCAGGGATGTGGAATGGGCAGGGCTGTATGGTGATCTTGGGACTGGAGCCTTCTGGGATTCTGGCCATTCCTGGCCTCTGGGCAGGCCTCGGGCAGGCTAGGAGCTCAGGGACCACGTTTGGGGGATGCACCGAACCCTTACTGGATGACATCTGAATAATTTTTGAGATCTTTGAGAGCTCTTTTCCTTTGGTTCCTTCCCCCCAAAAGTCTCCTGCTACTTCGTGCTTATACCCAAGTCTACCATTGGATAATATTTTCTTTTTTTTTCACCTTCCTCCTGCCTGTCCTTTAAAAAATACTTCTCTGAGGGGAACACAGTGAGAAATGAATGAGTTTTGGGTGCTTTTTGGGTTGACCAGAAGGCCCAGGAAGGTAAAGGCAGGGCTCTTACTCAGAAGATGTGCTATCTGATAACATCTAACTATATTAGTTAACAAAATTATCAGTAGCGTATTCTTATATTTTAAAACAATTAAAAAACTAAATTGGATAAAAAATAAGACAGACGGGGACTTCCCTGGTGGTCCAGTGGTAAAGAATCCACCTTACAATGCAGGGGACGTGGGTTCGATCCCTGGTCAGGGAACTAAGATCCCACATGTTGTGGGGCAACTAAGCCCGCGCGCCACAACTACTGGGCTCACGCGACTCAACTAGAGCCCGCGTGCCACAAACTACCGAGCCCACAGGCCCTGGAGCCTGAGAGCCACAACTAGAGAAAAACCCACACATCACAACCAGAGAGAAGCCCGCGTGCCAGAACTAAAGATCCCGCATGCCTCAACGAAGATCCCGCGTGCTGCAACTAAGACCCAATGCAGCCAAAAAAAAAAAAAAAAAGACATACACTTTTCCCTCTTCAAAAAAAACACGTGCTCCAAGTCAGGAGGATCTGCATTTGAATCCTTGCTGTCCATCCTGGGACACTCAGACAAATCACTTATCCTCTGTGACTTAGTTTCCTCATCTCTATTATTATTTTCAGGGGGGCATGCCATGCAGCTTATGGGATTTCAGTTCCCTGACCAGGGATTGAACCTGAGTGATGGCAGTGAAAGCCCAGAATCCTAACCACCAGGCCACCAGGGAACTCCCATTTGCCTCATCTGTAAAATGAGGTTTTATGGATGAAATAAGATAAATCACTAACATACACAGGAAGAGCTCAAAAACCTTAACTATTATAACAGTTTGGATGAAGAGTGACCAAGAACCTGGCTCACTGTTGACATCCAGAAGGCCAGAGATTGGCTAGAAGTGTCTCAGATATCTGGGCCAACAATGGAGGGACACATGTGGCCTGGTGTCATCCTGGGAGGTCATGGAGGGTCAAGATTAGAACACAGATCCTCGTTCCCAGTCAGCAGATATTCTTCCTTTGCTTCCATTCTTTTTTTTTTTTTAATTTAAATTGGAGTATAGTTGCTTTACACTGCTGTGTCAGTTTCTGCTATACAGCAAGGTGAATCAGCCATACGTATACATATATCCCCTCTGTTTTGGATTTCCTTCCCATTTAGGTCACCACAGAGCACTTGAGTAGAGTTCTCTGTGCTATAGTTATATTCTGTATAACTATAGTTATATTCTATAGTTCTATGTGCTATAGTTATATTCTATATAACTATAGTTATATAGTTATATTCTATAGTTCTCTGTGCTATATTAGTTATCTGTTTTGTACATAGTAGTGTATATATGTCAATCCCGATCTTTTGCTTCCATTCTTACCCACTACTCTATTCTGGAAGAGTTGGCTTTTCTGCACTCTCCCCCTTCTCCTGGCTTCCCCTCCCCTGCTGTTCTTATTTATTTTTTTAAAACTATTTTATTTATTTTTATTTTTGGCTGTGTGTGTCTTTGTTGCTGCACACGGGCTTTCTCCAGTTGCGGTGAGTGGGGGCTTCTCTTGTTGTGGAGCATGGGCTCTAGGCACGTGGGCTTCAGTAGTTGTGGCACATGGGCTCAGTAGTTATGGCTCACGGGCTCTAGAGCGCAGGCTCAGTAGTTGTGGCACACGGGCTTAGTTGCTCTGCGGCATGTGGGATCTTCCCAGACCAGGGCTCGAACCTGTGTCCCCTGCATTAGCAGGCGGATTCTGCTGGGAGTCCTCCCTGCTGTTCTTAGAGTTCTCTAAAGCTACAGTGGGTGAGAGGGTCTGGGTGGTGATCCTGCACTCCAGCTGCTGGGTCTTGAGGAAGGTGGAGGTTGAGATCATGCAGAGCAGCAACAGGAGAGGCCCTTGATGGCTCTGGAGAAAACAAAGTTTAAGCAACATCCTTTTCCCTTCTCTCCATCCTTTGAGGCATATCCTGGCTTTGGAGCCTGGTACCAAGAGAAATTGAGAGGTGTGATGTGTGGAAAGTTAGTGATGTGGCTGTAACACTTTTTTCACACTCCTGGAATTGTTTTTCCATCTCTGTTCCCTTACAGGACTGTGATCCCCAACTCTTGCCTTACACAGAGTGTATATGTGTGTGTGTGTGTGTGTGTGTGTGTGTGTCCTGCACCATAGTACTGTGGAGTGTTTGTGTTGTGTGGAGTGTGGGCAGCAGGAGTATGGGTCTGTGTTCTGGGTGGTGTATGTGAGGGGCGTGTGCATGTGTGCGTGTTGCATTGGTCCGTGTGTGGTGAGTAGATTTTTTTACCTGCGCTATGAGTGTGATACATCCATGTGCAGTGTGTATACTATACTTAAGGGTGAGAGGGCTGTGCGCTGTGAGGGGCGTGTTTAGTAGGTGACTATGCGTGCAGCTTGCCCTGCTCCCCGCATGGGGCAATCCTATGGAGATACGACATGAGGTTGCAAGAGTGAAATAAAGCACTAACACACAGGAAGAGCTCAAAAACCTTAACTATTATACTAAATATTTGGGGGAAGAGTGACCACGATTCTTTGGCTCTATGTTGATGTCTATATTGGGTAGTATTGTCTCAATACAGGGTGCCCCATGGGGGCTAGGAGGGGGCGCTGTGGGTGGGCGCCGCACGGGGGGCTGCGAGCCGACATCACGTCTTCATTAGCTGGGCTCCAGTGGAGGGGCCTGCGGACGGGGAGAGAGCGAGAGCGAGCCCGGCCTCCCGCCAGGGAAGGAGGGACCTTGGAAGAGCCAGGATGGCTGGCTGGAGTTTAGTGGGAGTAGCTCCCTAGGCAAGCGGGCCCGAGTGTAGATTGGGGGCGGGGCTAAGGGCAGCTGCTGGGTTCCGAAGGATTGGGAGGGGCCCGGAGGTTGCGAGAATGGCTGGGGCGGGGCTAAGAACGGGGTTAGGGGCGGGGCTAGGGTCTGGGGGTAGGACTAAACCTGGAGCAGATCTGGAGAGGAACTAGGGATGGGATTGAGGGCTGGGCCTCAGCGGCCGAGCTAAAGTTTAGGCCTGAGATAACGGGGAGGTGCTAAGGTTAAAGTGGAACAAAGAGGGAGAGGCCCGGAATGAACTGGGAGGACCCGGATGAAGAGCGCAGCGGAAGCTCAGACTTGGGCTAAGACAACGCAGCCTAGAGCGGAGGGAGGCGGGAAACCGGGCAAGCATGAGGCGGAGTTAAGGGCTGGACTGGGGCGAAGCTGAGATTGGGGTTTACGTTGGACTCGGCCAAGCTGAGGTTCAGGGTTGGACTTCTGCGAGGAAGAGTCTTGTAGAGACGAAGAACTAGGCTGAGAGATATGTGGGTTAGGACGACACTGAGGATTGAAAGGTGGACTAAGGAAAAAACTGAGGACGATGCCAGCTGGTGGGACGAGAGCAGCACCGGTAAGGAGGGGACGTGGCAGCAGATTAGGGGAGGGCTTCCAGCTGGGGGCGTGGCATGGGGGCTGGCTTGAGAACCCAAGGAGGGTGTGGGACCTGAGAGAGCCCGACGAAGGAGGCGGGGCCAAGGACTGGCTGGGGCGGAGTTAGGATTTGGGGGTGGGCTCACGTCGAGACATGGACCAATGATTGAGGACTGGGGTCCTGAGGACCTAGAGAACCGCCTGCGCGTTCAGTTGGGGTGGTCCGGTTGAAGCCAGAGCTGAGGCCTCTGGTTGTAAGGCTGGAAGGCATTGCTGTGCCGCACCGGGGGCCCAAGCCGCTGCCCAAGAAATGCGGGGCTTGGCTGGAGCCCATGGTCCAGCGGCCAACTAGTCGCCGGGGCTGGGGTGGGAGGTTTCATTGACTCTGGGGCAGGAAAAAGGCTGGAAGTTCCACAGGTGACATCACAATCGCCTCCAGATGTAGGCGGGGTCAGGGAGGCATTTCCCCGGAAACGGGAGCCGCCCTGCCTTGCTCCGTCCTCTTCCCTCCTTCCCTTCCTTGGTTACTCCCTTCCTTCCTCCCTCCCTCCCTCCTTCCCCAGTTCTGCTGCCCGGGTACCCCACCTGAAACCCTACCCCTTGTGCCGCAAGGTCGGGGGGAGCGCCTCAGCTCTCCAGACTGGGAGGATTCTGTACAAATGAGCATCACCTGTGAGTTTTGAGTTAGGCCCCTGCGCCCAGAATAATGCCCTACTGAGAAAGAGACCACAAGCCTCCCTCTTCCTTTTAAGCTATCACTCTCATTCATTATGAAGTCCCCCCTGTGTCCAACTTCAGTCACTTCTGCCGAGGAGCTCTGGACTCTGCTTCAGTCGGAAACTCCGACTGAAGATCTGAGGAGAGTTATTAAATCCCTCCCCTTGGCAGAGTTGTAATTGTCAGGGCTTCTTGGGGGTGTCAGGGGAGTTAGTCAGTGGACCCTGCATATAAGTTTCTTCCATGGTGACTGGAGAGAGCAAGCAGAGTTTGAATCCTGACCCTGGCTCGTGCTCCTCTGGCCTGACCTTAGGGTCCAGGCTGGATATGGGAAGCTGTGGAGTCAGGACTGAGTAAAACCAGAGGGTGAGGAATTGGCTATATTAGAGTTGAAAAACCGGTGTAATGGTAAGTGATAGCTGGCAGGGCAGGTTTTGGATAGGACCATAAGTAGACAGGCTGAAAGAGCATAGACTATGGAGCCAGGAAAACAGGATTTGAATCCTACCTCTGTCATCTGTTAACTTGTGTCTTTGGACAGGTTACTACTTATTGTAAGTCTCTGTCCCCATCCATAAAATGGGCTTTGGTGAGGATTTAAAGTCAAAGGCATATTTTAAAAGCCCCCCCCCCCGCCCCAAAATAAAGCCCAGCACAGTGCCTGATATTAGGAAGATGCTCATCCAAGGTCAATTCTCCTTCCCTAGAAAAGTCCCCAGGTTTGAACCCTGAGCAGAATCTCCAGTGCCATAGCTTCTTTGTGGCTCCAATAGGGGCTTTATTCTCTTCTACTCATGTGTTCATTCAATCAACCAACATTTACTGAGCACTTTCCATGTTCCAGGATCTATAGATACAGAGGTGGATTAAATATAGGCCTTTTTCTCAAGTTGCTATAAACACATGAAGTACATTGGCGTAGGGTAAAGGGGCAAAAGAGAAGTGTGACCCATTCTACTTGGATAGCATCGTTCTTTCCAAGATGAGCAGGTGTTCCTGGGGAGTAGGAGGCAGGAGAGAAGGAATGGAAAAGGGAGGGGTGGGAAGAGGGATGGATGGACAAGAGGAACTTATAACTGAAGAACAAGGGCCTGGGTCCTGGGGACCAGTTCTGTCCTGATAAGGAGTTCTTACCTCATCCTGAAGGCAGTGGAATGCTATTAAAGAGGAGGAATGTGCTGAACCGGTTTGGCTGCATCGTGAGGGCTGGATATGGATAGTGAGACAGAAGTCAGGGAGGCCAGGCAGAAGGTTACTCCAGCTGTCTTGGTCAGAGATAATGAAGGTCTAAACCAAGACGGAGGCAGATATGGGGGCAGGTAGGCATGGCAAGACTTGGTCATCAGGTTGGTGAGAAGTGAGGGAAGGAATGATCCCTAGATTTCTAGCTGAGGTGTCTGTTGCTCTCTGAAATGGAAGATACAAGAGGAGGTGGTTCATGAAGGGCAGGGAGAAGATGGTGGGTTCATATGGGACATACTGGTTTGATGTTTTGGGAATGTCCAAGAGGACATTGGCTACATGCTCAGGAAAGCAGTCTGAATTGGAGACCCAGATTTATGTCATTTTATTAGTGGATGTTGAAACCATGGAAGTGGATAACATTATTCAAGACAAGCCTGTAGCTTCTTCTGAGAAGGAGACCAAAGACAGAACCTTGGTAATCACCAATTTAAGGGGTACAGCAGAGAAAGAGGGGACAGCAAAGGAGTTAGGAAAGAACTAAAAAGCTGGGAAGGAAGAGAGATGAGAGGCGTCTGTCATGGGAGCCAAAGGAACAGTTTGCAGAAGAAGGAGATTGATTGGTCAACAGGGTCAAATGAGATGAGACTAAAAGAAGGCCGCTGGGTTTGGCTATTAGATCACTGGTGGCCTTTGCCGGGGCTATTCTGCTAGAGGGGCTGGGATGGCTGCCATGCTGTAGGTGGCTGGAGTAGAAGAGAGAGGTAGAGACTCTGAGCTCACTAAAGTAGGGACTAGGCTTCCTTCACTGGTGCAGAGTAAAGCTAATACATCCGTTAAATGAGGGAGTGAATAAACTTGGATTGAAAAGGAAGAGGGGTGGGATATGCAGTGGCAGAGTGAGAAACAGGGTTCATAGAGTGTTTTGTTTGAAGATGTTCATAGCCTGTAAGGAGAAAAAAACCCCAAAACACTAAAGAGGCAGAAGGCGAGAATTCTGGCTGGGACCTAGAGTTCAGGTGCTTGGGCAGGAGGGAGGGCCACTTCCCCAGGCTGGAAGTTGATGAGGGTGGGGACAGCCATAAATAATGCTGGTGAAATTTTGTGCTGAGAGGAACAGAAGCAGGGTAGGAGTTTCCAGGAAAGTGCCTGGAGTTTCATTCATTCATTCCATTAATTTTGAGTACTTCCTGTGCTGTGGAAAACAGAAGGAGCTCACCAGGGACCAGTAGAAGGATGACCGAGTGCCACTGAAAGCCCAGCTGAAGTCCCCAAGCAGTCAGCTACCTTCCTTAAGCAGGACTCAGCTCCAGTACCCCAAAGGACAAAGCTAATTGTAGGAGGAAAAAGGAAGTGGCAGACTCTACCCTGTGGCGCTGACGGAGCTGCTGCCGGTTGGAGTTGTCTTTGGGAACACCCTGGGACAATTCCTGGAACCGTCCCTTCTTGCCTAGACTCTGGCTCACTCCTATTCATGACTCCAGATTCAGCTCCTATTATGCTTCTTCCAAGAAGGTCACCCCATCCCTATCTCAGTAGGTGTCCTTGTTCTGTCCTCCCACAGGCCTTCGTCCCCACCATTTCCCTATCAGTGTCTGCCGCACACTACTGTCATGCGCTGTTCCACAGACCTCTCCTGCCTCTCCCCTCCTCATGCCCTCCCCCAGCCCCTTGACAGCAGGGACTGTTGTGTCGTCCTTTTAATCTCTGCATCTTCTGGGGACTGCACCTGGAGCTTCTCAGGAAATGTTTTTGGAATGAATGGTATGGGGAGGGGGGCTGCTGTTACCTCTCTGTACTCTCTCAGATATAAACAGGTTACCCAGCTGGGAGAGAGGACATCTGCTGGCTGGTGTAGCGTCCAGCACTGACGCATCTACCTTCTCCTCTGAAGGTGGGTCTGTCTGGGGGATCTCTGGCCCCAGGGGTCCCCACCACCCCTCACCTGGTGGTAGGCAGGAGGGAGGGAAGTGTTTGGTCCTGAAGGGGTCACCCAGCTGCCCTACCCTGAGACCCCTCCTTGTGCCAGACAGAGAGGGCCACCCCTTCCTGGAAGCCACAATCACCCCTTTCCTTTGTACGGCACTTTATGTATGGTGCACCAATATCTTTGACACATGTAAACTGAGTCCTCCCAACAACCCTGCAAAATAGGTATTACCGTCATCCCCATTTTGTGAATAAGGAAATGAAGGCTCAGAGAAGTAAAGTAACTTGCCCTAGGTCACCCAGCTAGACTTGGACCCAGGCCTGACTACAAGTTCAGAGCAGTTGCCACCCTGCTGCCCTTTGCTCCAGTTCAGCCGTGCTGGAGAAAGCCCGAGGTGGTGGTGCAGGACTCTTACTCCCCCTGCCTCTTATTTCCCTGAGATGGAGAAAGGGCATGGGAGGAAAGGAAGCAGAAAGGGAGGCCACTAAGTGGATCTGGGGTGTATGGGGGACCCAGGCCCCCCAGAGCCTGGTGGGGGGGGGAGGGAAGGGGAGGAAGAATGTAGGGAAGGCTCAGATCAAGCTGCTGTCTCATCTCTCAAGAACTTTAAGGCCACTTGGAGTAACACACCCCCAGCCTGATTAGCTACTAGCTGGTGGCCAGTATGAGGTCTTGCCGCAGTTCCACCTCTTGTAGGGGCTGGATAAAGGCACAGTCCTCCTGGCCTGTTTGGAGGGAGTTAGCCAGCCGTAGCACCTCAAGCTGGGCTGCCCTGGAACTTGGGAGTGCCCGCCCCCTTCCTCCAGAGCCCCCTTCCTCCTCTGGGAGCGGGCAGAGCCGGAGTTCAGGGGGAACCTCCAGGAAGGTGCCTTGTCCTCTCGGCACAGGGAATCACTTCCTGAGCTTGTTTTAGATGGTGGCCCAAGGAGAGAGCCATTGGTAGACTGGGGCCTTAGGCAGGGTCAGAGGTGAGGCAGTGAGGGTGGAGGCTGGGAGACACCAGTGTGTGCACAGGGCTTGCATTCAGCTGAGCAAAAGAGGTAGGAACCTTTCTTCAGGCCTTTCCCCTAATCCCCAGGCCTCTCCCCAGCAGCTTCTCCCCTGTGCCCTGGGACACGGTATCTGTGTCGCCTACAAGGGGTGGACTGTTTGAGTCTGTGGCTCTAAGACTGGGGAGAGAGAATGGATGGGGAATGGGAACTTGATGAGTAAAGAGAAGGGAAAGAATCAAGAGTGAGCCTGGGAAAGGGGAGAGAAGTGAGAGTGAGAAAGGTGTCAGAGGGAGAAGAGAGAAGGAGGGAAAGGGAAGAGTCAGCAGGAGAAGCCAAGGAACATGACGCACTGGAGGCTCAGGCCTAGCTCCCCTCCAGGCTTGAGCTGTCATGCTGCAGCAGGCCCTGGGGATGGAGTGGCTTCAGTGGCTGTGAGAGGTCGGACACTGGCCTCCTGGGCCTCTGTGGGGCAGGAGTAGGATCTGAGGATGCTGCTGCCGCCAGGTTTAACTGCTGGGGACTCTGAAGTGGTGCTCCCGTCTGCCATGGCAAGAGGGCCCTCCCTTACCCAGGTACTCTGTGCAGTGGGGTAGCTGACAACTCCGAGCACTGGGTGGGGGGCAGGCAGGAGTCAGCAGAGGACCTTGGGAAGGAAGGTAGGCTCCCACAGAAGGCAGGGGAGGGGAAGAGGCAGGTGTCACAGGACAGCAAGGGGGACTTGGTGAGACACTGTCCTGGGAGTCTGCGAGGGGCAGGCAGAGGCACACACAGCGGACTGGGGAGAGGAGAGCGCTGGGCTGAGTTACTACTACTCAGCAGTAGCAGCAGCTGTGGGCGAATCCTGGCGGTCCAGTGGTTAGGACTTGGCACTTGCACTGTCGGGGCCCAGGTTCAATCCCTTGTTGGGGGAACTGAGATCCCACAAGCTGCATGGTGCGGCCAAAAAAAAAAGCAACAGCTATGGGGGAGGGAGGGACGATGGCGGCAGCAGGTGACCTTGGTGAAGCCTTTGTACTGAACTGTGGGACGGGAGATCCAGGTACGTTGCTGCTGCTGTGCGGTACAACCCACTCTTACCCCAGGCTCCTACCCCGTCAGGTGAATTCCAGGACACTGATGGGTGCTGCTGGAAACACAGAAAGCGCACCGGGCGCGTCATCCATCCCTTCACCTCTGACTATGGCCACCACGCCGTGCACCTGCACTCTATCAGCCACTGTGACTGTGAGTCTAGGTAAGGGCCCTCCTCCTTGGGAGACCCACAGCCCAGAAGAGACTCCTGGGTAGAGCCAGATCCAAAATTTTCACTGTGGTTCCCTGCTTCAGCTTTGACCTGGTGCTGCCAGCCCGGCCCCAGCTTCTGTAAACCTGGTTTGTGTTCCAGGAGCCACGGGGAGGTCTTTTGGCAGACTGGGCTGAACCCAGTGGAAGCCTGCTGTCCCTCAGGCTTCTTGCTCTGGGCCCTTGGGGAGTCGTGGAGGCAGGGGAGCCAGCCTGAGTCCCTTGTGTGGCAGGCTGAAGGACTGCTCAGAGAAGACATATAGCAGTTCCGGAGATGTGGGCCTAACCTGCTCCCAAGATGTGGACTCGGCCTGTTTCAACATCATCCAGTGCCCATGCTTTGAGCTCATCCCAGAGGGAGAGTGTGTGGAGCGGTTCTGGTGTGGCTGGTGAGTGCCGGAGGGCCAATGGGGGTCACTGGCCCCCACACTCCGTCAACCATCTTTCCCTGTTCTCCTCTCCCCCCGGGTGCAAAAGCTACAGGCCTCTCTCTGTGGCAGTGATCCACCATCCCATCCACCGTGAGTGCGGGGCAGATTACCTAAACCAAGAAGAGGAAGAGAAGGAGGAGGAGGAGGAGGAGGAAGAAAGCAAGCCTCCCATCCCGACCCAGGTGGGGCCCCCTGCCCTCCTCACCAACACAGGTATGGGCATGGTCACAGGTACCCCTGACTTAGCAGCTCCCATCACCATCTGGCGTTCCGAAAGCCCCACAGGGAAGTCCCAGGGCAATAAGATGATCAAGAAGATAAAGAAGAAAAAGGGGAAAGAGAAAGACAAGGAGGAGGAGACGGACGAAAAAGCAAAGGTGAAGAAAAAAGTCAAGAAGGGCAAGTTGACTAAGAAGAAAAGCCCAGTTAAATCAGAATCACCTCCAGGCTTACACCGATCGTTAAGCCCAAGAGAGCTGGCCAGGATGTCAGAGTCCAGCGCAGACAGCTGGCGAGATCTGGAGAGTGAGGACAGTTACAATGACCCTGGGCGGGAGGAACCCTCCAGTGAGGATACTGTGGAGTCTTTATCACCCAGGAAGAGAGAGAAGAACGGGGTCCAGGCCAAGAAGCCCAGGATGAAGACCTCACCAGTCAAGAAGGTCAACAAGAGGAAATCTCCCCCAGCATCAAACCCCAATCTCAGTTGAGGCCAGGGCGACCAGGGCGAAGAATAAATACGATCAAACCTGTAGCTGACCCCCTGCTTCTCTCTCCCTCCAACCTGGCTATTTCTGGGGGGGGCAGCCTCTGGGCATAACTGGAGCCAAGGGGCTAAGGAGCTGCAGGTGTCTCTGAAGGGCAATCCGTCTTTCAAGAGGAAGCCCAGAGAAGGCAGGTGGGAGGGTAGGGAAGGGGCACAGCCCGTTTCTCTGTAACATCCTAGGTCCAGGGCAGGAGAAGAGCACCTCTGGGTGGGAAGGAGGCTTCCTGTCTACTGGGAGACAGGTCTGTGCAAAATCCACGTGGTGATAGGCATTGTGTGCAGTGATACCACTAATCAACTGAACCTTTTAGCCCACTCTGTGCTGCCTTGCCTGGCCTTTCCCTACTCTAAGTGGCCCTGGGGCAGGTGCTGGTGGCATCAAAAGGAACATGATGAACCTTCCCAGCTGGTGTGGCCCTGCTCCTGCTAGGCCCTTCTAGGCCTTTTTTGCTGAATTCCTGTCGGAAGGCCAGCCCCTTCCCCCAACTCTTGCCAACAGCCAAAGGGATCTTGAATGAAGGAAAGCAAGGCGGGAAGCTCTCCAAGTTTAGGCAGCAGTGGCCTTTTCTGACTTCTCTGCTGAGCCCCAAGCAGAGGAAAGGAAGGGGGAAAGCTTTGCTTTCCCAGAGCTGACAGGCAAAGCTCTGAGGTGAAGCCCTAGTGAAGAAACACAGGGAGATCAGTCCAGAACAAGAGGCAATGGGGCTGGGGGAAGCGACTAGTCAGCTCTCTTCATCAGGGCTGTGTGTGTGTGGGACCAGGTGAGTGGGAGGCCCATCCTGGGGGAGATACACTTGACTCATGTGGAGGTACTGTCAGAGACCAAGGCCCAGCCGGCAAAAAGGGGAGAGAGAGGTGCAGGGTTCAAGTGGAGACACCCAGATTGACTTGTGGCCTTTCTGCCATGTGCCAGAGAAGACTAGAAGGCACAGTGGATGGGGCGGCTGTGTGTGAGTGTAAGAGCAGCTGACATTTCCTGAGGCCTGATGAGGTCCCAGGCACTGGACTTAGCACTTCACACATTCTTTCTTAGTCCTCACAGCTGCCCTGCTGAGCTAGGTATCATCATCTCCATTTTACAGATAAGAAAGCTGGCTTGGAGACAACAGGAACTCGCTCAAGGTCACAGGGCTGGGAAGTGGAGCAGGGATGTGACCCTAGGCAACATGGTGCAGAAGCCACCTGCTCCTCTCTAAGTCCCTGCCTCTCTGATGGCCTGGAAGAGGGAGTCAAGGGAGCCCTCAGAGCTCCAAACACTGCTTTGAAAGCTCCCCCTCAAGAGCTGGAGACTTGGAGAGAGGCTTTGCCAAGTGCTCTGTAGAAACACTGTTTATTCAAATGACGGGCAGGAAGCGTGGCAGCAGGGGGTAGGGGCAGCCAGGCGGGGGCTGGGCAGGTTAGCACTGCTCCCCTATGTCCCTTGTGATCCTGCTTTGATAGCCACCCAAGCTGTTGGTATCGGTCAGAAATACCTTCCCTCCTCTCTCCTGTCCCAAACTGAATAAATAGCATTCATCTCCCCACGAGAGCTGGGGGAGACTCACGTGCTGAGCTGGTGCTCCGTCACAGCCCAGAGTCAGGTGAGAGCAGAAGCTCAAAATGGCTTGTAGGGAGTAGAATACAAAACTGTTCCACTCTCATTTTCTTCTTCCTCTTCTTCCTCCCTGCCACACTCCCTTCCCAGCCTGGTCCCAGGACAGGTGGTCAGTGAGGACCTGGAGTGGGAGTATTGTTGCCTAGCGTACACTGAGCTCAAGTGCACAAGGCCATCCAGACTGTCACCCATCCAGGCTGACCACCAAAGAGAACGTCAATTCACTCCACTTTATGGACAGAAAAGGAGGGGCAAGGAGTGAGGCAATGGGCAGCCAGGCCTCTCCCAGCCTCAGAGGTAACCAGAGTCCTAGGAGCAGGCCCCCTACCGATCCATCTCGTCCAGGAGTGGGGTGGCGTCGCCAGCAATAGACATGGGGGTGCTTTCGATCATAGGGCTGGGGGAGGGCCGAGGTGTCAGCCGCTGCTTCTGTTTCCGCCGTTCTGCCTCCTTCTCCTGCAGCCACTGTTCCGCCATCTTCCCCCAGTCGATGGCTGCATGGCTGTTGGACCTGGGAGGGAGAACAAGGGCCTTTGAGACTGGGACTCTCTAGAAGAAAGCCTTCCCAGCAATCACTGGTGAGCATCCATTCTTGCAGAAATGGACCTCGCCTCTATGGACAGCAGCCATGGCCTGCTGCCACACTGTGTTCTTCCCTCTTCTCCCAGAAAGTAGTCCTCCTGGGGACATCACCTGGGCCATGGCTGTCAGAAGATCCAGAGCACCTCCCTCTACTAATAACCTGTTCTGTGCCACCATCTGTATACTTACTTTGGCTGCTGCTGCCGTTGCCGGGAGCTGGAGGAGGGCTGGGGCTGGGGCTGGGCAGACTGAGGGGTGGTGCTGGCCTGTAGCTGGTGGTACTGTGGTGTGGTGATGGGCTGGCTTGGGGTTGTGTAGGAGTAGCTGGGGGTCATTAGTGGCGTGGCCACCGGCTGCTGGGCTGGCGTCGGGAACACCTGGAGAAGGGTGAACAGTTGAATCGGGACGGGTTTTGTGCTTATTTGGTTTTTCTGTGAATTTCTGGCAAGCTGAAAATTTGGGCTCCATCCAGAGCCTTCCAGCTGACCCTCTCCTGAGCAGTGTGTGGTTCTGAGCAGCAGAGGCAGGCCAACACGATGGGACCTGGCACAACAACACAGTGCACCCTTGACCACTTGAGGTTGCTAGAGGCTTGAGGATTCTAAAGATCCCAAAAGACTCTGTGGAAAGGTCAGAACTTCTCTCATTCCCGTTCCCCTTAAATGGGCCTGAGAAAAAGGAACATCTGCTGGAGACAGTTCCTAATGCTGTGGTAGCACCCTCTCCTTAGGAAGGCCCTCGTGGTGGGCACTGCAGAGGCCAGTCTATGGACACAGGCTGGTAAAGGATGACCGTTCCCTTTCACCCTTCCCCACCCTCTGCAGGGAGCCTCCTCCCCAAGCCACGTACGTGGTAAGCGCTGCTGCCCCCTCCACTGCCGCCATAGCCATACTGGCTGGAGGCCCACTGCGCTGGGGTGGCATTAGGGTTCTGGCCTTGGCCTGTCACGGCAGCAATGGCACTGAACACCTGTGAGGTCATGTTCTGGGGCAGGGCGTTCACAGCCCGTGTCAGATCTGTAAGCACACAGAGGTGGGAGATGGGCATGTTAGAGGTGACAGTCCTTCTAGCTCCATCCCTCTAACCCCCAGTCCCTGGCACGAGCTCCTTACCTGCAAGGTTGATGTTGGCTGGGGTAGCATTGATAGAGGCAGGTGTCCGGGTCCTGCTGCTGCTACTGGGGGTGATGCCTGCAAGAAATGGCCCAAATTATGTCTCACCAGGAACCTACTTCTGGTTTTACAACTGGGGGGCTGGGAGAGGTACTGAGGTGGGTGGAAAGAAGGGAAGCTGGGGGGATTCCCTGGCAGTCCAGTGGTTAGGACTCTGCGCTCTCACTGCTGAGGGCATGGGTTCAACCCCTGGTCGGGGAACTAATATCCCACAAGCCACGTGGTGTGGCCAAATAAATACATAAATTAAAAAAAAAATAGGGAAGCTGTACACGCAAAGTGGAAGATGGAATAGGAATTAAGAGAACTACAATGACAGCCTAGGCCTCAGCCCCTCCTGTAGAAGGCTAGTGATTATCTTGACTCAGCACTTAGACAGACGTCCCTCAACCACACTCCACAAGTCAGAGAGAGTAGAACTCACCTGGTACAGGATCCTGATAATGATCCTTAAACCATCTGAAAAGGCCATTCACAGTCGGGAAGATTTGGCCCCGGTACCGGAATCCTTCTGGAGTCACTGTTACATATTCTATCCTGGGATTTTGGGAGGAAACGTGCATCAGATACCACTTGTGGCCAGCTGTAAGAGAGCGGCCAGAGCAGATTTCCACCATGTGAAGTAGCCACACTGGGTGCTGGGGGAAAGGAGAGATAAAAGAGCCAGTCCCTGACCCTGTAAAAGGAGGCTGCACTCTGGGTGAGGTGAGAAGGGCACAGCAGAGTCCAGGCAACGCCAGGAGTCAGCAGCCCCTGGTGTGCTATGTTCAGGCTGCCAGAAGAAGCCTTGCTGGGGGCTGGGCCACCGTCCTGCGCTGCAGTTATGTTGGCAGCACACTGCAGGTGAGGGTTACTGAGATCACAGAGTGTCAGGGGTGGGAGGGGCCTCCCAGGGCAGCAAAGCACAGCTCCCCACGAGCCGGAATCTGGAAGTGCTTCTTGACGGTGGCTGGTCTGCCCTTATTTAACACTTTGCCAGAGCAGAGAGTGGATCAGAGGATGGGCTCTGGGTTCAGACCCAGTCCTTGTTCCAGTTTTGGCTCTGCCACTCATCACCTATATGGCTTTGTACCAAGTTACTAAACCTGAATCTCGGCCTCATTTGTAAAATGAGGATAACAGCACTTAAACCTATAGCGTGGGTATGAGGAATAAATGAGACAACACATAAAGCACTTATCACAACACTTAAAACAGGTTGTGCTCAATAAAGGATAGCTGTCAACAGCCAACAGTCAACGCTAATAAGTATGGCAATGTGCCGACTCATATTAAGCTGAAACCTGCTTCCTAGATCTTCTACCCAACTGTTGTTCATTCTGCACCACAAGGAGTTTGTACCCCTTTCCAAGGGACGCTATCATGTTGCCTCTGCTCCTGGTTAAAGTCCCCTGTTTGTTCAACTGTTGCTCATGGGATAGTTTCCAACCACCACATGGCCCTGGCTGCCATCTTCTGGAAGCATGCTGGTGAGTCACAAAAGGCTTCTCAGAAACAAGCACAATATTCCAGAAACGCCCACGATGGTGCAGGGTCCAGAGTCCAGAGCTTCTTGTCCTCTGGCCTCTGAGCCCCTCCTAACAGAGCCCACACTGTGCATCATGTGCGAGCAGTACAGGACTAAGAGCAGAAAGGCAC